TTATACTGAACACTATTTTTAAAAAATGTGTGTTAAAAAGTGATTTATTGTCACAGTATTAATTTAAATATAATTTTAGACTTAGAATTCAAAAAATGAATTGTTTGATATAAAATCGATTTTCATAAAAAAAAACAAAAAAATATTCAGAAAAATATAAATTTAAAAATAATAACTACGTCATAGTATCTAGTTCCGTCTAAATATTAAAGCTATAAGCTTCACCGAACCACAATTAAAGAAATTTGAAACAGTTTTCTAAATTAATTTTACGAATATTTGTCTAATATGAGGTTCAGGTTTTTTTTATATAAGGATAAACAACAATGTAAACTCTTATACCAACTACGAGACCTTGATGACTGAGTGGTTCCATTTGAATAAAATAAGAATCTTTCATGTTGGGAAACCATTTTATATCATAAAATATTGTTTTTAAAATATCAACTAAGACGATAAATGAATGAATAATGATGATGATTTTGAATAATAGTTATTAATTATTAGTTAAGATTAAATTAGGAGGGGGGCTTCAAAGCGCTTGTACAAGACATCTCATTTTTTGGGAAACTCACGCAAAGAAAAATGATTAAAAATAGTCATTTGGTACATTTTTTATCGGTCAGCCAAGCACGGTGCCTGTACAGCTGTCACATGTACGAGAATATCCAAGCAGTCACATTTTCATCTTTATATACTACACTTCCCGTAGTTGGTTTGATTTGTATTGTGACAAATTTTTAAATTACACTTTTTGTGTGCTTTAAGTTATGAGCCTGGATAGTGCATAGAATAACTATTGTATAACTATAATAAAAAATGTATGTCCAATGAAAGATGTATATAAATACTACTACTCATGAAAAAATTGTATTGATCCATACATTTTTTAAAAAGTTATAGCACTTTAAAGTAAAAAAATTATAGAACAAAAATTAGTGAGTTAAACAAATTAAAAACCCAGCACAGGGGAGTCACGGCACAGTGGTGCCGTGGTATAGTTGGATCAAGTATAATGATATCTGACAGTGATTAAAATCACTATCATAAATAAACGCTTCGATGCAAATCTTTAGATAGTGTTTAATTTTAAAAAAATGGTGTTTTATTCCAAAAGCTACATTATCTGCTGGTTTCTTATTAATATCTCGATTAAGATAAAGTATGTCGAATGAAAAAGAGTTTATTTAAAAATATTATTTCTCATAAAAAAATTGTGTGGATCCATACACTTTTCAATAAGTTATAGCATTATAAAGTTAAATATAATATAAAAAATTAAATCGAGAATTTTCATACGAAAATAGTATTCGGTAACCATTTTCGCCGTGAAGACAAGTCCAGAGGTCAAATTTTTTTTTTTTTTAATTAAAGTATATTACATTAGCTTTAATTTAAGATATATATATAAAAGTGTCAGACCATCTGGAACATTTTCAAAAGTTAATTTGAAAAAGTTAATTTTTTGTGAAAAAGTTGTCTTTTTAAATCCCTCCCTATGGGCAGATAAAGGGTCAAATTTACAAAAAAAATATATCAAATGATAGGTAAAGACATCAAGTATACATAAAAAAAGATTATATTGATATGTTAAAAATTTAATTTTTTGTAAAAAAGTTGTCATTTTAAATCCCCCCCTGTGGGCAGGTATAAGGTCAGATTTATAAAAAAAATATACCAAATGAAAGGTAATGATATCATGCATCTATATAAAAAAATTATATTGATATGTTCATTTTTGAAAAAGTTACAGCACATTTTAGTAAAAAAAATTGAAAAAATTTCGAAAATTAACGATTTTTAAACTTGTAATTTTTTTGGAGGTTCCCCCATTTACGGGGAGCGGGGAAATTTTTTTCAATTTTTTAGGGTAATGTCTTCGACTAGTAACGATTTGTGATCCTTTGACGTATTGTTGAAAGAAATCCGTTCGGTGAGAGCTGAGAAAAAGTGGTAACAAACACAAAAAAAACAAATAGATGATATCTGACAGTGATTAAAATCACTATCATAAAAAACGCTTCGATGCAAATCTGTAAATAGTGTATAATTAAAAAAAAAATTTGTTAAAATAGCATATTTTTGAATATGGTAGCCATTTGCGCATAGAAGATAGGTCGTCGGGACAAATTTTTTTTTTTCATTTTATAGTACATAAAAAAAGCTTAAATTTGATATATGTTCAAAGGACGCAGTATTTTCGGAACATTTTTAAAAATTAAGTTGAAAAAGTTCTACTTTCTACATGCATTTTTTGCTATTTTAAATCCCCCCCAATCATTTAATGTCATCATTTAATGGGTAATAGAATGGATTATAAAGAGATAATAATGGATATTTTAATGAGAACCATTTTGACTCTACTATATACATTAAAACAGATATTCTATGAAAATTTGAAATTTTTAAAACAAATTTTACTAGTTGCTCTTTGTGTTTGAATACCACGTTCAAAATACAAAAAACGTCCTCTGTTATTCAACTTTTTGTCAAATATTATGATTAGTATATTTAAATTGTTGTAATAAAATAATTTTTTTAAATAAAACCAATATTTTCGATTCAAAATTTTAAGTCGAAAATTTATAGCGTGAATAACATAATTAGCAATATTATATGGTATATTTTTAGTAAATTACAAGTAGGCTAAAAATAAAAAAAAATGTATGCAGTTTAGCTGATATTTATGTATGTTATAAGTAGAAAAAAAATTGTACATACAGACAAATTTTATTTGTGAAGCGATTTTTATTTAAGTATTATGGAAGTATTAGTTTACAATCATACCTGTAATAATTGCTTTGAATAAAAATTATGACTTAAAAATATTTGATTTTTCGGCCACTTTTGAAAGTACACAAAATGAGCTAAAACAGATCCTAATAATGGAATATTTTGTCCAATAATGTTTATTTTGGCGTAATTTAAGACGATGAGATTTATTATTTTCCATTATCCACTAAAACTAATTTTATTATAACTTTTATTAAAAAATCGTGTGTTATAATAACTGTCAAATGTAATTCAATATGTAGACTAAAAATTGAGTTATAAATACCTTTTATGAAAAAAAAATTTTAACTCATTTGATTTTTATCTCATTAAGATTTAATAACTTCGATGAATATCAAAAATTCCATTACTGTAGTATACCCTCGTTTGAAGAAATTTTTGATTCATAATAAAATTATTTTACTATGTGATTTTTTTTTGTGGCTCTCATTTATTTTCTCGGCTCTCACTTGACTAAGTTTTTTTAACGATACATCAGATGATTACAATTTGTATCTAGTTGAAGATATTATCCTCAAAAAAAGAAAAAATTCAATTTATCAAATGAAAGTTGCTTAACCAGCTTTCTTCGAACAGAAAATTAAAATCATTCATTTATAATAATTTTAAAGTATTTATGTCGAACTAGGTCGGATATGATAACAGGTTTCAAATACAAATTTAAATAATTTATTAATTTTTTAACTCTATTTATGTGTGTTATTACCAATCTACAATATTCAACATTTTTTGGTAACATGTAGTAATTAGCTTTAAAATAATAACAGAGTACTTTTTATCATAATAAAATAATAACAGAATATTTTAATTAAAACTATACTTGTTCTCAATTCAAGCAACAATATTTATAACATATACATCTACGTTATAAAAAAAATGTTTTGTTTTTAAATTATTTAAAATTATTTAAATTTAAAAGTTCAGAAGTGCCTATATTAGATGCACTTACATCATAATAATTCCAATCGTAAAATAAAAATTATTAGAACGCTAATGAAAAAAAATTAATTTTTATTATTTATTGACACTATTTCATTAAGTGACATACCTGTAAATCCAAAACATAAAAAAACAAACAATTTATTATAATAATAATTGTGGTTGTTAAAAATTGTCATATGTGTAATTATATAATTACTGAAGTGTCCTTGGTGACATTCTTATAATTTTTATTGTTATTTTCTAATTTACATGATATAATATTAATTTGCAATTTCGCGTCATTCCTACATTTTCTTGTGTTGTCTAAACGCCCGATAAATAAAAATCTGATTATCAATTATATGATTTATACTTCTAAGAATATCAGATGTTTTATCCAAAAATAAAATTAATCAGTAATTACTTCTCATGTTATTTGTTAATATTGATTACATAAAATCTATAAGCATTCAAATGAATAAACCAGGATCGATAAATCTTTTCTACGTATTAGATGATATTGTATTGGTTATTTTATATTATACCCAAAAAATCTTATTTATTTTATTACACATAATATTATATGTATAAATTATACATATTGTAATGATAAAGCAATTCAATTTTCAGTTCTGATTGATAGATACAATAAACAATTCATGAATATCATAGGGTTTTAGATTTATGTTTCAATCTCGAAAAGATATTTCACATTTTAAGTGAATGGGGTTTTTAATTACAATTTAAATTAGCTTAGTGAGAAAAATCGGATTCATAAGGCACATTTAAATCGAAATGTGTTATGATTATTCATGAATATCGCTATGATATCTGATATAAATTACTCAATAAATATTAATATCTACTGAGAGTATACTGTGATCATTATCACGGAATGATATTACCATAGATTAAATACATGTGTATTTAATCTATGATATTACATACACGAAAACGACAAAAAGCCACTCAATAAAATACTCTATCCATATGTGCCAACATGTAAAATATTTCAATAATACAGTACGATATTTTAACGTTTTTGAAAAAATTATCATCATTAAGTTATAATTAGATGTAATTTTATTTTAACTAATAATTACATGTTGCTATAATTAAATATAAATTTAATTTAATTGTTAATTATTTATTTATACTCAACTAAATATTTGATATTTGTTTTAAACAGTTGATAAATTATCGTTAATAAACTGATATGACACATAATTGAAAAGTTATAACTCATATTGTTATCAGATAGCTAGTAAATAGATTATAAAATTTAATAAATAAATGTGAAGTTCATTTGAAAAACAATCGTCTACTTAAAAGGTTAATTTACAATTTTGTTAGGGCTATGAACTGTAATTTTATGTGTTAATAAAATTAATTTTTTGATTTATGCTTTAGTGATCGCTAATATTGTGATATGCCGCAACACCACTTATTTAAAATAAATTATTCAGTAAAATCTAAATTTTTTCAAATGCAGTAGAAACTCGATTAACAATTATTTTCTGTTAAACGCCATTATGATTAAATGACTTAAATAATTAAATTACTTGTCCATAAGATTAGGAACATTAATAGACAAATACTCAAGCCTAGAAAAATTTTAAAGATGACTGATTATTTTGTATAGAATGCTTTTATGATTATATGGTTTGATAATTAATGACAGTTTAAGCCTTTAAACATTTATTTTTGTAACAATAAATATTTTTATGAAAGTTAATGATAAAATTTCATGTTATTTTCATAATCAATGATGACTGTTAATTAAGCTTCTACTATACTTTGAATCCATAAAATTACTGGATCATAGAAAAATTTTAATTATTAAAGCTTCTAATTTATTCACTGTTCAGTAAAAAAAATATTCCTTGTTAATTACCTTTAAACTAAAATTTTCTTTTCTAAAATCTATAAAAGTACCAAATATAATAAAAAATATTTAAAACCTATCGCTAATGTAATATAAAATTAATACATTAATTTTTTTTTTTTTACTGTTAACAATGCAATTTAAGTTATGGTACCTGTCAATTTAATAATAATCAGTTTGTGTCAATTAAGAATTTGATATACCATAAATATTTAATTTCCATATTATCTCAAGTTTTCAAAGAAACTGAAGTTTTTTTCTTGTACATTAAAAATGACATATACAATCACATTTATTTTATAAATGTGTTTGTATTATCATTTTTACGAAACGTTAACAAACAATAAATAATAGTAGTATTTTGTGCCATTTAATATCTCATAAAGTATAGTTTTAAAGATTATATCTCTTTTCAATCTATTTTGGAAACCATTAATTAAAGATTATTACTAATTATTTTATATTTTAATTATGTTAATACTATTTACTTTTCATTTGATATTGACAAATAATTAATTTTCAAGATTTTAAATTAAGCTTAATACATATTGACAATTTGTTTTGTATAAATACTGTGAATTCAAAATCATTTATATTTGATGAAGTTTTAAATGATTAAAAAAAGACTTATTTTTTAATTTTTATGAAATAAAAAATAAAGTAAAACAGAAATATTTAAACAGTTCAAATAATTTTAAATAAATTTGATGTTACTGTAAAATAAATACTACACTGGCACCTTATATCTGACATTTGTTAAGCAACCGACTGTTTTTATATCTATTAGAAAAATAAAATAAATTTTAATAAAACAAAGGGAAATCATGCACCTTTCCAACCAAATATTTTTAAATGTATTTTTAAAAAAGATTATTAAATTTTAATACATAATTATTTGTTTAAGGAAGGATTTTCAAGATTTGAGCATTCAAAATGTATTCTTCTAATACTCAACCTGGTAATACAAAAATATGATTGTGTATTGAATGTTCATATTATATTTTATGAACATCCACATTTATTTTAAATAGATAAATTTTTGTTAAAAATCCTGAACATAAAGTTAAAAATTGCCTTGATAAGAATTTTTATTTACAAAACTTCTACTAAAAATCACATCTTTGTAAAAAGTTATACTTTTTTTCAGAATATCAGCTAAATTTGTCCATTAAATAATGTTCATTTAAATAAAATTATTAAAAAATATTTAAATTCCCACTTCAAATAAATTTCTGGTTGTACTATCAAATATATAATACCTATTTTTATTTAGTTCTTATATTTTTCAGTTTATTGTTATTAATAATAATAATACTTTTTCTTTCAGGATATCCTCAATATCCTCCCACTCATCAGCAATATCCTCCTCATTCTCAACATTATCCTCCTGCTAATCAACCAAATCAATACAATCAGCAACCATACAATCCAACTTATTACAATCAAGCTCCTAACTATCCACCTCCGTATTCTCAACCAGCTTATAGTCCAGTTGTTCAGCAACAACCTGGTTCACATCAACTACCTCCTGCAGCTGCTGCTGGTAACTAAACAATTTGTATTGTTAAATTTGGACTGAACTTGTAGAAAACTATTTTGCATGATAACAACCTTTGCAAAATCACTTGAACTTGAACTTTATGTATTGAAAAATGTATAAAATGATACTTTTATTTTTATTTTATTAACAAACTATTCATAAAAGCTAAGCTAATAATAATTATTAAAAAAAAAAATTATTCAATCATAATAAATAAATAAATTTTCTCTTATTATATTATTTTCTATTAATAATTTCCAAGCATTTAAAAGTGTAAAGTTAATTTTTTTTTTTTTTTTAATAGAAAATATGAATTATTTCTAAATATTAAAATATTGTTATTCACCACATCAACATCATAAATCAAACAATTATTTTTTAAGAAAATTTCAAATCAATTTTCATATTTATATATATATATATATATAGTGTGAAAAGATTTAGAAACCCTATAACTTCTATTATAATCATTCAATTATAACATTTTTTTTAGCAGTTTATTCATAGACTAATTGAAAATAACATATTTTATTTTTATAATTTCAAAATAGCAATTTTTAGCACTTTTATTATTAAGATTGGTTGATAGCAATTTTAGGACAATTACTTCTTGTGTTATGAGTACTTTAATACATAAAGTTGGTATGTAGAGTGGGTGTTATATATGTTATAAAAATACACCCATACGACCTGTAAGAACTATCAAAAAATATCCATTTATGTATTAAAATGCTTGTAACTCATTACTCATCCTAAAATTGTTATTGATCTATTAAAATGTTTTCTAAATAAAAGGCTAAAAATGGCTATTATAAAAAAATTATTTTATCTTTCTTAGTAGTGATGTTGAATAGAAATAAGAATTACATGCATTTATAAATTTTATTTGAGCTACTTTGAAGGGTGTCAAGTTTCCACAACTTTATCATAGGATTATAAAGAAATATTTTTCATTTTAAGTGGTGAAGAACCCTCTTAATCCACCAAAACTATAAACTTGGTAACAATGCATTAATAAAATTTCATGTCATTAATAAAAATCTGTAATTGCTGATGATCTGTTCAGAATAACTTAACCAAATTTATAAATGTGTATACTCCTAACCCTAGTGATAAATATTAAAAATTTATCCTACTCCGAAAAAATCTGTTATGAAAAATGTACCAAAAAGAATAAAATAAATTAAATTTGAATTAGAATCAATTTATTAAGATAGTAATAAAAAATCATTGTTATTTTTGGAGTCAGTGTCAGGCCAGGTTAACATATATGTACTAACAAAATAGGTATATATTTAATTTTAAAATTGACAATAGACGCTCAGTGTCAGTGATGAAGGAATGTGGGGAGAATATTGGAGCTTGGTATCCCAGAACAAAATTATTTAGATGATTAAAATAAAATTTTATTCATTTAAAGGGAGTAGTCAAAAAATTTTTTATGTATATCCCTCCCAGAACAGAATCATAACTTTGCCACTGCATAGTATTGAACAGTATGGGACGCAACAATTTATTTTTAAATTAGAAAATTTGGGTATAGAAGACAACTGATGTTGATTAGCAACTATGTCTGCCTTCAAGTGTAGCCATGTTTGAGTGACTCACTTAAGTATATTTCTTTCTCGTCATCGCAATATATGACTCCATTCAGCCCCGTACTGTTTAACACCACAAATCTACCGTTTTTATTTCAATTTTGAAACATGATGATAACATTTGTTAATTTTGGCTATCACAGACTCCAAAAATTACAATAATTTTATAGTATTATCCTAATAAATTAGGATTCTAATAGTACTCTAATAATTAGAATTATTCTAATCTGATTTATTTTATTTATTTTTTAGTGAAATTAAATAGTTATAAATTAGTGACATATTTCTAAAAATGTAATTTTTGTCAACAGATGGCTGGATGTCAATTCCAGCAAGTGTTCCACAAAATTGTCCCAATGGACTCCAATATCTAACAACAATTAATCAATTACTTGTAAAACAAAAAGTGGAATTAGTTGAAGGTAATATTTTATACTCAATCAAAATCTACTTAAATCTAAAATTCAAAATAAATAATAAAAAGTAAATTAATAAGTCCTTAATATCGTACCACAACAAGAGCAAAAATCCAATTAGTTAAAACTGTGTATCATTCACAAAAACTTATGGCTGTATTAATTATGATATGATATATAATAGTTGTATCAATAATGTGCGGTTTATAGATTGCTTTATAATCAATGTAATGACTTTGATCAATGATTTAATATTAAAGTATCCCTATGTATTCATTATAATAATTTTGTCTGCTCCAATAGTAATATAATCTAACCTTTTAAATTTTAAATTGAATCTAATTCAATATAAAAAAATAACTGATAGTAAATTTTTATAAATAAAAATACTTAACCAATAAACCTACAGAAAAACTAAAGTTTCTATAGGTTTTCATAATGTATCACATTTACATGGTAATAAATTATTGTATCTTTCCGATTTAGTTTTCCACAGAAAATTCCAATTTTAAACAATGTTGAAAAAAACTTAACATTTCTTTTTACAGCTTTATTAGGCTTTGAAACAAATAACAAATTTACTATCAAAAATAGTTCTGGACAAAAAGTATTCTATGCTGTTGAGGACAATGATTGTCTTACAAGAAACTGTTGTGGACCTCTGAGACCATTTGAAATGAAAATATTGGATAATTATAAAAATGAAGTTATACATTTATCAAGACCTTTGGCTTGTCAATCATGCTGTTTCCCTTGTTGTATGCAGGTTAACTAAAATATATATTTTTTTAATAATAGATTTTAGTAGAAAGGCAAATTAATTTTAGTTTTAAGAATAAAGATTATTGAAAAGTTATAAGAATGAAGTAGGACTAGTAAATATATAAAAGGATTTTTAAAAAAGAACTTTTGAAAAAAAAAAATCTTAAATTTTATCTTTTTTAAAGATTATGGCGAAAGTGGTAATATGGAAATGAATTTATATATATGAGATAATCCTAAATTGGTAGAGTTAATAGAATCTTAGAGAATTTTACTAAGGTAAAAATTCTAAGGTATTAGATATTTTAATGTTTAAGTAATAGAACTTAAATAAATAAACTATGTGAAATATAAAAAAATTTAATATTAAATAAAATAAAATTAATACTAAATAAAAGTTAAATGAAAAATTGTATGTATAAAATTAAAACATTTTTTTAGAAAATGGAAGTATTTTCTCCTCCAGGGTGTTTAGTTGGAACTGTTGAACAAGATTGGTCCCTTCTTACACCAATTTTTACCATTCGAAATGGTGCTAATGAAGCAGTTTTGAAAATTGAAGGGCCAATTTGCAGATTTTCTATGTGTGGTGATGTGGAGTTCAAAGTATGTTATTTATATTCAATATGATTTATTTCTTTAGATTTTATTTTACTTTTAGTAACTAATGTACAGGTTGATCAAAATCTGGCATGACACTCAATTTCTCAGAAACTATTGACAGTTTTAAACTTATGTAAAGAAAAAAAATATTAATTTCAAAAAACTACAATAATATGTAGTTGAATCTCTTTCTTTTTATTTGCTTTAATGCCAACTACTTGGAGTCATCCACCTTATACTAAACTTCCACTTGACACAATCTCCCAATAATATGTAGTTGAATAATTTTTTTTTTTTGCCCCTTCAGGGATATATATCTTTATTTATAACATTTGTAAATGAAAGTTTTGAACTTTATTATTTGATAGAAAAAAATATTACAAAGTACTTTGTTATTTCAATTGTTTTATCTGATCAATTGTTTGTGTTTTACATATTATTTAAAAATTTGGATGCAAAATAAAAATTCATTTCTGATTTAGTTTTATAATACTGGTTATAAAACCCAACCCAACCCGCCACCCTGGTGCCAATAATTTGTAATGATATCCCATAACTTATTTATTATAAAAATTTTTAAGAAAAATTTTCTGTTATCTAAATGAGAGTTAACAATAATATATTGTTACTTTCAAAATAGATTATTTATATCACCAATAGTTTCTGAGAAATTGAGTGTCATATCAGATTTCGATCACTCTGTATATGAACCATTGAGATGGCTCTGTCTTTAATATTTGTTGGAATTTTACACCATCTGTTGACCTTACTGTCAGGTCCTGACATAACCTTTTTATAGCTGAGGAACCAGTATAGGGGCAAGGTGTTTGTCACTGTTAATATTCCTACATAATCGCTCATACGGGAACCAGCAGCAAACAGTGCAACTGAATATCAGTGCTAAGACTGAATGATCCTCTACGCTATATCATGCTCCTATGTACATACCATATATTATGCAAAAAAATTTATATCCTTGAATATTCTAAATTATTTCCTTTTTTTATTAAACCTTGATTTTTGATTCATTGATTATAATTTGTGCAAAAATCTATATATTTTGTTTGAGCCACTTTAAAGAGTCTAAAATTTATTTAACTCTATTGTGGAATTATATAGTAGTGTAGAATAATGTTTCATTTCAAGAGAAAATAAACATCCCCAACACAAAAAAAAACTATAAATTTGGTAACAACACATAATTAAGTTTTTAAGTCAAATAATAAAAAATTTTACTGATTAATGGTATATTTGGAATAACTTAACAACGTTTATAAATGCATTTAATGTAGTTAAACTCTAAATTAATCATATATACTGTACATATTTCTATAAAATTCATTTTTGTTTTCAGATTTTATCAAAAGATATGACTACTGTAGTTGGTCGTATATCAAAACAATGGTCAGGATTATTGAGAGAGGCATTTACAGATGCTGATTATTTTGGAATCACTTTTCCTATAGATCTTGATGTCCGTATGAAAGCTGTTATGCTTGGAGCTTGCTTTTTAATTGTAATTTTATTGGTTTAATCATAAATAAGTTTTGCACACCAGAACTAAAGAACATCATATATATTTTATATGAAATAGAGTTAACCCCTTATTTTTGTTTTACAACTTTAATTCTATTGAAGATTTAAACGCAATGTCAAGTTATTGATAAATATGAAACTAAGCTAAAGTAAAATAGAACCATTTCCATTTAATAGAGATTTAACACTATAGAATTGCTCTCCTGAAATTCACAATTATACGACATAATGAGCTTTATTTCCAGAGTACATGGTCTAAATAAGAAAATATTTGTTTATAAGTTAGAAGTATTGTTAAAATATATATAGGAAAAAAACATATTTTTTGTTCTAACTTAATTTTATACCATACATAAGTATACAATATTTTCCGTAGTATTGTGATACTTATATTGTATATATCAAAAAATCACATTTAAATTCATTTTTTGTAATAATTATTTGAATTAAAAATAGTAAAGATTTTTACTTAAAGAAATTTAATATTTTTAGGATGTAATGTTTTACGAGAAAAGAGGAAATAATGAAAGTGATGGACTTGGAATGTGCTAGTTTATGAAAAACATACTTCAGTATTTAGCTTTTACATAGAGTAAAAATGAAATTATAATTGCTTTAGTGCTTAAAATTTCATTGAAAAGCTTATTACTAATTTTAATAAATATGAGTTATATTTTTTTACATTACTTGCAAACTCTATTTAATTTTTATTTTCATTGTTTTTTTAAACAATAATATATTTGACTATTTTTTAACAAACTATATTTAATTAAAACTACTTCACAATCAAAAATTATTTATACATATATAATCTTATATTTGCTTTATCAAATATACTGAAAACATTATTGGTTTTAATTTATATGTAATCAAAATGTTAAGAAAAAATTTTCCAAGAATTTTATATTGATATGCATTTTTAATAATAATTAATCATATAATTGTATTAATCGAAATATTTGTACTAATTTTTTTTACCAAAAATTACTTTATTTTAATTTAATTAACATTAAATATTTATTTTAACTAAAAAATGTTACCACATAATTACCTAAGATATCCAAACTAGTAAAAATAAATTATATTGCTATTTAATGTTCATAGTATTTTTTAAATAGTATTGAACTTTATATAATATTAAGTTATCAAAATTAAGAATAGAATGTAAGGAATGTTAGATGATTAAACCTAAAACTAATTCAAAGAAATAATGATGATTTAGTGACTATATTTAATATCGCAGTATGATTATACTGCAATAATACGTATTTCAGAATTAAATAAAATGAAATTTTTATTGATTAATATAACTAGTGTTTCTGAACATTTTTAATTTTTTTTTTTTTTTTTTGACAGCAAATTTACATAATAAATTAACATAGTTTTGCTGCAAATTATGAAATTGATATAACCTCTTATATTAAAATATCTACTATCAATAAGAATTTTGACTTAAGTTAATATTATTTTTTATTTCTGACTTTCACACTAATATTGATAAAAAACTTAATTTAAAACCAGAAAAGTTGTATTAATTTAATTTAAGTAAATTTAGTATGAAAGTATTACGAAAAATAAATTTGTTATTCAATTACATAAAATTGTAAATTTTAGTTTGGCTCTGTAAAATTGAATTATGTAATAAAAAAGTGAATTATGTAAATCAAAATTTTTGAAGGAGAGGCCCAACATTTTTAGTTTTTAAAAATGGTTTTTTTTTTTAAATTTTAATATTTTGTTTTAGATCATTACATTTTTATAGAGGCATATTATTTTTTTTGAATTCACTATTCACAAATTATACACTACTTAGAATTTACTTTGATCATTAATTAGGATAAATTTTAATTTTGTGGGTGTGGTTACCAATTTATTCTATTATTATTCGATACCATTACGGGGACCAAAAAGAATTTTAACTACGGACCCAATCAGTGTTGAATCCAAATATACTTTAGGGGGACCTAGGCGTAGTGGTTATTGTCAAGGTGGCAAAATAGTTATTTTAAAAAAATGACACGATGTTTCATATATAAAATTGAATTGAAAACCATTTTGTTTTTTTGTAGTAATTTTATGAAAATTTAACAATAAAATTATTCTCTTTGCATCGACGATTAGAAAAAAATTCTGGATTCAACACTAGACTTGATCTGCTATGTAAGATAAATTAAACTTAGACACAAATCGAAATTTTTAGCATCAGTCTATACAAAGTGTAGCACTCAGTGGCACAACTTGACCTCCTTTCAATAATAACCGTAAATTTATCAGACTGAATGCACACATCATTATGCTCTTAATAATATTATTTTTAATTAACTGTACTTTTCATTAAATATGATACTTGTAGTTACTTAGAGATAAACTTATTTATTTATATATCACTAAACATATTTTAACTGTTTTAGACTCAATTTTTGATTTTAATTAAAATGAACAACTTTTAGAGAGATCTATTTTTCAACTTTAAACTTTAAAAAAAGCGCTTTTTTAAAAGTATAGCCTAGACTATACTTCAGGTTTGTTGCTTATATCATATTTTAGTGTTGAAAGTAATTTTATAATCTAAAAAATGATGAGTTCACAATGGTCTTCCAAAGGGTTAAGAAAATACGAGTTAATAATAAAATTTTCATTGATAAAATGACTCCCTGAATTTGCCATTGATTAACTGCAAAACACTTACATCATGCAAAAATACACTGATTCAGGGGCATATTTCATTCTTACTTTTCCGATAGTAAAGTTTATGAATAATTGTCATGAGTCAACAATTTTCTTATTGATTTTGTAGCACCAATATTACAATTAAAAAATTTCAGTAAATTTTTTAGTGCAAACTCTTAAAGATTCTATAAAGTCACAAGGCACACTGGACCGTTTAGCCTTTTTATTAAAATTATTGATAAGATTAGCAGCGAATACATTTATCACCTATAAAAATATAACCCATAAGCCCCATTTATGTCACCCACGTATTGGGCTAAGGACCATAGCTCCCTCTCTCACTCACTTATTTTCAATTGTCAAGTTATCACTTTAACTTTTCTCTTACAGTCTATATCAATATATTCAGTGTGTTTTTTTTAACTTTTAGCTTAACTGGTCGCACTTAGTCTAAAAAATTGTATTTGTGTAAATAATTAATACATTGCATAATAATAAATACACTTCTATAATTCAGAAATAATTCTCTTTTCATTATCATATTTCCTCTAATCTAAACAAAAGCTTCGAATAACTGCAGAAAACCAACCAAGATTCTATCATCATTATCTCAGTAAATATGAGGAGTAGTTTTAACTGCAAATGTTAAGTGATGACCAAGATCTACATCTCTCTTTATTAATCGTGCTCTTAAAAATCTATATCTCCACCTTTAAAATTCTCTTTTTGGTTATTAAACTTATAATAACAAAAATTCCAAAATATTCATTGATCTTATAGAAAACGTTAAACTTTTTAAACTGTTTACTTATGTTTTAAACAAGTTCTTTTTTTAACAACTCTATTATTTTCCCAACAATTCTGAATTAAGTATTATTGTATTATAGGTTTTCATAACTAAATAACTCGTAAGTGCTGAAAAATTTCATAAATATGACGTGTCTGCTTTATTAATTAAATATCTAATAAAAAATATTTAATATATTAAATATTTAATAGTTCTCTTGTAATGTAATTAGGATGAAAAAATATTATTGACATTCATTCAATTGTTAATAAATATTTAAACCTTTTTTTGGTTCTACCAAAAAATTATGAAAATGTATGTACAGTTTATTATGGTTACCTAACGGTATTGTTCAATTCAACAAAATTTCAATATCGTCAAATCAGTATGTTTTTTCCGACATATTCCATAGACCCATTGTGATTTACTTATACAATGGAAAATTCGAGAGCAGATGGCAACAGTCCTTTTTTGTAAAGCATTCACAAAATTTTGTAACTATTTGTAAACAATAAAATGTCGTAAATTTAAAATGTAGGGATAAGAATGGGACCAATGCAGGATTAACCATAAATTACTTACCCAAGGGCAATAATCGGATACCCAAAACTATTTTGTTTACGCAATATATTTTTGTAACACCAAGTTTATATTTTATCGAATTTAATGATTAATATTTAATGGATTATCTTAATCTCGACGATGTAAAAATTAATTTCTGCATAAATTAATTAGTAACTAATGAACTATGATATTTCCAAAATAACATACATTGTCTAATTATTAAATGCTCCTTTAATTCAATATATATATATAGTTTTATATTAATTTTCCATGTATTATGTCACCTTTTATTAGTTTTGGTCAAAAATACCATATATATATATAAAATATAAATCGAAATTTAATGATTTGATATATTGTAGTATAAATTCTTTGTAGATGCATTTATTATTGTTATCATCATTTCTTAAAATGATCTATAGACATATTTGTTAAAGCCTTAAAAAGATAAGTATTGCACGGAGGCTGTTAAAAGTATTTCAACTATTCTTTTCACCGAGTCACATTTTTATTATGATTATCTATATAATAATCTAAAATAGCAGCATTTTGTACAGATAGTAAATATGTTTATGCAATTAAAAAATATTTTTTAATTTTGAAAAAAATTAGATAAAAGCAAATTATTAGTTAAAAATTATTAATTATTAAAAAATCAATATCACCAAAAGGTAGTTTTCTACTATGTAATATTCGTCTCTAGAACATTTATAAAAAAAACAAAATGTCTTATATTTCTCAGACCATACAAAAGAATAGACCAATTCAAGAACACATTTAATTCTGACCTGTGCCAGAATAATATACAGTAACCTTGAGCAATGCTTTTCTTCGCGTCCTCAGGTCACGATAAAGGTACTAAATAAGGAAAACAATAGCCAAAACTTTATTATAATAATTGGACTACAAATCAAGGGAATAATGTTACATGTGTAACAAAAAGGTATGACACATTCGAGACGCCATAATCCCCATTTATGTCGTTCGTGGCACATTATATAAAGGCTAAAGACCATATTTTCCGAATACTTACTTATCTCTATTTCTCACGTCTCAGATTTTTCTCCATTACAATCTAATCTAGTGTATCTCTGCGTGTTTTCTTACTCTTGGCTTCTTTCATTTAGTCTAAAACTTACTTTTGTTAAAATCACTAACATTTTTCTTATAAATAAATATGCTTTTTTAGTTCAAAAGTACTTTTCTTCTTATTAATACACTTTCTTAAATTTATAACAAACTGTAATATTCTTTTCTATTACTCTAAAAATTAATACATTTCAGCTACGTCTAGCAAAGACATACTGATGCCGTTGAGATGTGTAATCATTTAATAATTATTTAAATAATCCTTACTGAACAAGCAATAAATGAGCTCGTACAGTTTCACATAAAAATTAACAATATGCAGCATGTTCGTCATTATTAGTTTACATATACTAAACAAAAAATAATTCAGTAAAAATCACTCTTAACGCCGTATTGTAAAGGACACCTTCGTTTAATCAAATAACTTTATTGCCACATTAAATTTTATTACTATGATTTAATATAACAGACCTAAGAGCCCTCTAGGACCTGATCTGTCCTTTGACATCCGTCAATGACTCATTCTTGTTTTATCTCTTCTTGTGTTCACACTCAAATGCTTAACTATTATTTTATTTAAAAGCTTTTACACTGTTTTTTAATACTAAGATTATGGTTTGGTACCTCATTAATAATATAACTCTATGATTTAATTTAAGATACATTCTTGTCAAAATAACTAATTATTCATTTAGCCAATAATTAATAATTTAAGCTTAAATAACATTTTATCTTCTATTTAACAATTGTTAAACCTTCACTAATCATCTCTCCTCTATACATTGTGGACCGTGCTCTGTTATCAAAAAATATCAGGTAAGAGTAGTTTTAACACACTAACTACACTAATCAAGTAATATCTAGAAATTTATTACGTCTCTATACTAATGATGCAATTATCATTCTTTACTATTAATACTACCCCGGTTAACCTTATTTTTAGTACTTATTACGAAACACTTTGAACAACTGCAAATCACCACCTGAAATTCTATCATCGCTATTCCAGTGAATATCAGGTAAGACTAATTTAAATATACTAACCATAAATATTAAGTAATAACTATGATATACATACGCCTTTTATTTACTGTGCTTTTAATCATATATCATCCAGTCTTATTTATTCTTTCTTGGCTATTACAATTAATAATCATGAATTATATCGCCCTTATTTTTATAAAGCTCATAAGATAATCTAATTTATTTATCTTTTATTTTTTGATTATTACATACAGCTATTGAAATTTTAATTATTATAAGCTATTAGTAGCTAAAACATTTTTTTTTTTTTAAATCGACAACTCTTTTCTATTTAACATATTTATGTGACAATAAAACTGCAAAAATACTTCCCGGAAATATTTATTGTTAACAATTAAATATTATTTAAATTCTATGATTGAAATAGAGGAGAATATTAAATGATAATACTTAATCCAACTTTCCTATATAACTATAATGTTTGACCTACAGTATAAGCATTAAAATTAGAAAAAAATTGAAATAAAATATTATAATAATGATCAGTTTTACATCTCTCTATTTTTTGAACATGCTACAGAGGGTGGCCGGCCCTCTTTCACACGTTAGGAAGTCAAAGATGGTTCTTGGCTAAGCCAATGATGGACGAGACGGTATTATGGCCAACTTGCACCAGAGACCAGACACCACCAATGAGAAAATCTAGTTGGCATCTTGAAGACCGAACCCTAGACCCCGTGTGCCGAAATATACGATAGTTCAAAAAAATTGCGGAAATATCCTCCATTTACGAGAAATAAGTGAATTTTTTTCAATTTTTAAGGGTGAACTAACCAAAATGTTTTTTGATATTAGCCCTTTCCATTGAAAAATTTTGGGTCCACAAGTGCCATATGTCATTTATTATAAATCACAAAAATTATTTACATTAGTTTTAATCTAAACTATTCCGATAATAAAGGTTAGGTAAGTTTGTGCGTTTTTTGTTTACGTAAATAGTCATAAAATGATTTGTGTATTATTTGTTTAACAATTGTCATTTAAAATAAAACTACCAGAGTACCTGTATCTATAATTAAAGATCAAAATTTCTAGTATTTATTAAAGTAAAAAAAGATTAAGAGTAAATAAAAAAGGTTTCACACTTGCCTCAAGTGCAATTCTGCAAATTAAAATATTTTTTAATCATTTTTATTTGGTTATTCTACACGATATCATTTATTTGACACAAATATAATATAAATTACATAATTAATTAAAAATGTATGATTTTTTTTACTGTCATTGTCATTTATTCGAGTTTCAAGTTTAATTTATTTATTGTTTAAGTCATAAGACAAAAATAAACGATGAATTCTTAAATAATCCAAGTTATGATATTCTTAATAATAAGATATACACAATCGGTTCACACACACTTATCTTGTTACACACATTTACCGTGGGAAGTGTGAAGTCGCCTTTAAATTATAATATTTAATTGTTAAAATATAGAAGTGTAGTTAATCATTTAGTTGTAACATTCGCTTAAATAATTTGCTTATGTACCAAATGATATCAAATTTTTACAGTCGATTGATAACAGCTACGTCACGCGATACTTAATAACTGCTTTTAACAGGGCTACAAGTGTAGCATTTTGAACAGTGAGAGAGAAAGCATAACGCTCCAATGAAGTTTTTAACAAAAATAATCATAAATCTTACATAAAACTATGCATATAACAGTATTTTTAAAAAATGCATTGGATAAGTAGCAGTTTTATAAAATGAGTTGACGCCGAGAACATCAATGTACACCTTATTAAACTGACCAAATATAATTGAAGAAGTAATTTTGTATTTTCATTTGATAGCAGTGCGCTCTGTGTTGAATATTAAAATTATTAAAATATGTCTCATATTATCATATAGAAACACTATCACTGTAATGAACGTGAATCACGTTGTTCTGTGGTGAAATGTGTGCTGCTATGAGCGTTGATTGGTGAAAGTAAAGGATGGATAGATAGACCGGTGGTTTCTTTCTATCGTCACAAATTACTACTACCCACTTCAATTAACTCTCTCGGTCTCTATAGCATTTCATTATATCTAATTTTGCCGCGCTAGCACTTTTTATGGGAGTACGTTTAAAACCCATGTTAAGACAATATATTTGCTTATCCTAAAGCAATTATTTATTTAAAAATACAAATTAAAAAAATTGTAGTTGGGTGTTTTTAAAATAATTATCCAAAATATGTCTGTTAGATTATTTTGCCTAAGAGTTATCATTAAAAATACTAAATATATTCAAATATACAAAAAATTTTTTTAATTTGTTTTAATTAAGTCTTACTACAAATACAATTTACTTACAATTGGTAAGTTAAATCTGATATAAATCATTTTTTAGTTCTTAAAAAAAATAATAGTTTTATTAACTATTTTATGAACGTCTTATCTATCTCATCGATTCTTTAATTTTTTTATGTATTCTTAGCTTCAACGTTATTAAACAGTTAAAATCATAATTAAAATATAGTTTCATTTCTCAAATATATAATATAAATTAATTTAAATCTCCTTATCTTAACCCTAAGTATTTTTGTATTTTTTGATTTCGCTAATTAAAATAACTTTAAATATTCTTTAAACAAAAATTTACTTGTAAATGAATGTATTTTAAGTTGCTGGTTTTAGATATATGTATATAAGATTACTATAATGATTATATGATGACAAATATCTGATTGTTTTGGTTTAAATAAAAAAGTATAATTATAACAACTTAATATACTTAGTTTTATCACCTAATAAAATTTTTTGAGGACATTTTTAATATTATATAACATGATTTGCTCTGAATGATTCAAATAAATCAAATTCACTCTACCTTAATAAAATAGGTATAATATTAAACATGCTAGTTGCATTGAAATAGTATTCGGTGAACAGAACTTAGTTTTTAAATGTTATATTATATTAAAGAAAATTTTAATTTTAAAAACAAAGTAATATTATATATTGTTGGATGAGAAATTGTTAGTTAATCACTTTTTTTTTTTAGTTCAGCTTTCAAATTTTTTAATATGGCTGATTTGGATAGTGTGTTAATTAATCTAAGATCCTGTTTAATGTCAGTAAAAGAAGGTGTACCATTGAATCAAATAGACAGTAAGCTAATTAATTATTTAAAAAATGTACTATTGAGTACATTGATTATAGCTAAAAAGAATAGAGATTGAGCCCAAATTAAAATTGCTTCTACTAAAAATGTATAGTCTTATGAAAATATATAATTCTAATACCAATGTTTCACTAAATCAAATATTTTTTTTAATTACATACAAAAGTGTACTACATTTTCAAATTATAGTGGCTAATATTTAAATATTTGTTTATTGATCTTTTGATCAAAGTTCAGAAGTAGTTTCTCAAAGATTTTTGTTAAATTTAGCTTTAACTTGACCAATAGAAAGGTCTTAGCTTATTTAGTATACTTCTGGATAGGACATTAATTATTTGTACAGTTCTATGTATAATGATGACATGGCACTATTGTTATATAAGTATACATACTAGCTTTTAGTTTCAAGTCAAATAAAATTAATTGTTTTTTTTTTAATTCAACTATGTTATTTGTATAGGTGATTATTTTAAAGTGATTGGTGAAAGAATACCATTTAAAAAACTTGGATTTCCATCAATTGAAGCATTAATACAATCATCAGACAATTTTTACATTCAAAGTCGTGGGGGAGTTAGTGTTGTTCATGCTGTAGCAAATGAAAAAACGCAGCATTTAAATGAACTTATTCAAAGACAAAAATCAAAACCTCCAAAAAAAAACAAATTGGTATGTTTTATTAAAGAATGGATTATTGATTTTCGATTAATATTTTAGTTAAACAGAACTTATATAATTGTAATTAATTTAAGTTATTCATAATTAAATTTTTAAAAGATGTAGTGTGACTGAGAATTGGTATAAACTGAAAAAATTACCTTAAATTTTAAATTTAATGTATTTTAAATTAATGATTAAAAATTAGAAAAAAAATTTAAATTTAAGAAGGTTAAGCAGTAATGAATTCTCCTTAATATATGAATCTTTGTTTAATTATAGTTAAATTAAGTGCTAAACCACACATTTCCCTTGATATTTCATTTAATGTTAAATTCAAAATTAGTTCTAAATAAATTAATAATTAAATTAAGAATGATTTTTTTTTATTTTTACTTATTTTATTGGATTATCAGAAATAAAAGTATTTTTTGGTTTTAATTTTAGTTTAATAAATCATTTCAACCCAGAGTTGATGGTTTTTCGAACACTCAAAACAGAGGATATAACTATCCTAGAAATGGAAACAATACTAACCAGAGACCTGTATGTACTTAATTATTGTATTAAACATTTATAAAAACTTTTCTTAATACTTATATTTATTATTTAGCCGAAATATTATCAAGGCTTTATTAGTTCACAGTATAATAACAATTTTAGAACAGCTCAAACTTTAATTGCCAAAAATGGTCAAAGTAATGTAAGTAATATATATGTTAATTTTAATAATTAATCGATATTAAGTTTATTCCATAAAAATTATAAATTAGAGTGTTTAAATAAATATTAAAATAATATTTCTATATCCATCAAATGTTATTTATGTTATCATATGTAGCGTTTAATGTAAATCTTTATTACCTTTTCTACAATTAGTATGAATAGTGCTTTCTAACATAAGGGGATATAATGTACATTACATAATGTATATAACCAATATTTTTCTATAATGTATCACAAAACGTAAACATAAAAAGAGGTATTTATTATAACTACGTTGTCTTAAAAAAGGATAATTTAAGTTGTATTAGTTTTTCATTTCTTTATTCCTAAATTATCTAACTGCAAAAAATTGTGTTCTTGAACTTATAATCATTAATAATTTATTTATATTTCAGAATAATCATCCTAAACCATATGAAAAGAATGGTTTTAGTAAGGTATGTTTTTAAAAATAACATAGTAAATTGCTTCTGATAAATTTTTCTTTTAAATTTATTTAAAAATATTAAGTTCATTTAGAATTTAAATATTAATATTTTTTTTGTCTTTTGTATCATTTAAAATAAAATAAATTTTTTTTTTTTGTGAATAATTAATGATTAGGGTTTTGAAAATTATTCTACATGTTACTAGACTTAATTTACTATAAAATTAATTATACAATATGAATTATATATTTTGGATAAGCCAATAAAATAGGTTGTTAATTAATACTTTTTAAATTAATTATCTTATGTAGTAATTTATCAAGCTAAAATTATGCCTTTCTTAATCTTATGTACAACAATAGTAATTCTTATAAACTTACCTATCCTTCAGCTATAGTTATGATTTTACAATTGATAACTTTTGGTTTAAAGCAAGAATTGGCAGCCTTTCTTTCTACTAGAACTATATATATATATATATATTTCTTTTATTAAAGACCGCAAATATTATAATAAACTCCATTAAATACAAAGTTATACTACATAATAACTATATAAATTTAAAAAATAATTATTTTATTTAAATAAATCTTAATAATTTACTAAATATATATAAAAGCTATATATTAGAAATACTAGGAGGGCTACAGAAATATATCCCACTGAATGCATGTAGCCTGGTATACCGATACTTGGTTTAATTGTACTAAAAATAGTTTTGGTTATTTCAAATCAATATATAATATAATGAGATGATAGTCAAACTTAAAAATATTAAATATTTTTGTAACCATCCTAATTAGCATAACATTACTTTATATTTTTCATTAGACTAATAAAAATATAACTTGTATAATATCGTTCAATAATATTTCATCAGTTTTAAACATTAAAAGCTATCTATTATTTCAGCCTCATTTGAACAATTATACTACTAATCATCAAGGGAATTATAATTCAAACAAAATAACACAAAATATTATATCCAGTACTAAGGTAACTATTGTTTATTTTTACATAGTATCAAATTTTATTTAACTAGGATTTGTTTCTTTTTACTAATTTTACGATTTTATTACTTTTGTGTAGAATTAATCAGAATTCTTGTGAAGGCTTTTTTTTTTTTTTTTTTTTTTTTTTCTTGATAGAAATTTTTGATTAATTGTAACTATATTATTATTTTAAGTCAATAAAAACTTTAATGACCTCATGTTTCAATAATGTCTCTTCAGTTGCCAAAAAGTATTATTTATCATTAAATTATATTTTTTATACATGACACTTTATTATTGACAAAACTTGAATTTTTAACCCACTATTTAAATAAGAAGTGTTTTGTAAATAAAAAATATTTCTTTTCTCTCTGACATTGTGATGCCCGTCTTTTTTATGTTTTTTGTTTTACAATTTGGATTAATTGAAACAACATAAATATATCACACTAAATTAATTGAATACATAACACCTAATTATTTGTATCTTAAATATTGTATGTTAATACACAATGGTATATGTATAGATTACTTATAGGGTTGTTGAGTGCTCAATCCCAATTTGAATATATCTAATATAATTTGATTATATGTAAAAAAGTTTATAATATTGGTGATAACCATAACCCAGGATTTTCCAATGAGAATTAAAAAATAAAAAATAATTAGTGACCTATTTTTATTGATGTTATAAATAAACATATTGGTTTAACATTACCAACAGGGGAGCTTATTCAGTTTAGTCCCTTTAGATATTGCACTGTTTGATATTATTCTTTTTTAATACTACTAAATTTTTAAATTTTTATTTTCCTACATGCATGGCTTAATAACAAATAATGAGCTATTCAATTTTTGCAAAATATTTAACTTTATTGAATGCCTAAATTTTGTTCATTAATAATAATGGTTTAGTAAAACTCATTTTATCTATGCTCTTAATTTACTTTAAAAAACAGTTATTATTTTTGTTCCAGAGTGTATTACCTAACACAGATATTAAAATTAATAAAAAATTTGAGGTGATACCACCATTAACAAGTAGCTGTAGTAGTTTAGAATCAGCTTATAGTTCTGGCTCATTAGGTAATCCAATAACATCTGCTACCCAAACAATGGTAAGAGAAATATTTTAATAAATTAACTGGATTTTATAACTTCTTTGTAATAAGTTTTCTTTAAATATATTAAGAATATCTTATTGGATAAAAAATATTTTTGTAAGGATGAAATATTAGATTTGAGATAAACATATTAGATAGACAGAAAGTCTAAAAACTTATAACTTAACATTAATAAAATCTTAGTCAAGTGATTGATAAAATTTAATTTTTCAAAGTCATGATACATCAATATACTTATCTTGATAGACCAATAATTTTATAAGTATTATATTTCATTAGTTAAATGGTTTTTCCTGCTAAATTATTTATTAAAAGATTGTTTTGTTTAACATTGATTTAATAAAAACAATTGTAACTTAATAATTTGAAGAATTTTGTGGTGTAACAACCATATAAGTTTTACTTTTTTAGAAAAAATTTTTTTTTATTTTGAATAAACATGATTTTTTTGTGTAATTCAATATAAAAACGAGTTCTAATTATGAAGATATTTAATTTTGGAAAAATATTTTGTCATTGCTTTTAATAGAAAATTTTTAATAAAATTGCTTCTCTTGAAAAATTAAAAAAACCCAGCACAGGGGGGTCGCGGCACAATGGTGACGTGGCATAGTTGGATCAAGTATAATGATATCTGACAGTGATTAAAATCACTATAAAAAAAAAACGCTTCGATGCAAATCTTTAGATAGTGTTTAATTTTAAAAAATTGGTGGATTATTCCAAAAGCTTCATAAACTGCTTGTTCCTTATTAATATCCTGATTAAGACAAAGTATGTAGAATAAAAAAGAGATTATTAGAAAATAGTATTTCCCATAAAAAAATTATATTGATCAATACACTTTTCAATAAGTTATAGCATTATAATGTTAAAAATGTAAAAAATAAAATTGAGAATTTTCACACAATAATAGCATTTGGTAGCCATTTTCACCTTGAAGATAAAATAAAGTCCGAAATTTTTTTTTACCATTATAAAGTATATTACATTAGCTTTAATTTAAGATATATATAAAAGTGTCAGACCTTCCGGAACACTTTCAAAAGTTACGTTGAAAAAGTTCTACTTTCTATATGCATTTTTATGTTTTGAATCCCCCCTGTATTTAGGGAAATGGTCCGATTTAAAAAAACAGTATGTCGAATGAAAGATCTATAAAAATACTACTTCTCATAACAAAATTGTAATGATTCATACATTTTTCAAAAAGTTATAGCATAATAAAGTTAAAAATGGAAAATACAAAATCGAAAATTTTCACACAAAAATAGCATTCGGTAGCCATTTTCACCATGAAGATAAGATAAAGTCCGAAATTTTTTTTTNTAAAATTTAAAAATAATTAATATTTTTAATAAAATGTAAAAAAATTAATTATTGAGATATAGCTATAGACCTAACGTATAACTATTATTTAAAAAAAAAATCAGCTAAAAATATTAACTGGATCAAAAGTTATTTAAGTTGTCAGTGAGTGGTGGGCCACCCTGTATATATATATAGATTAATAATCAATATTTTGAAAAATATCAAAAAGTAATTATTATATAAAGTGTTCAGTAAGTAAGGAAACAGGTCAATTGTTATATGCAATTAAATACTTAACTATTTAAAGTGATGACCAAAAATATGTTTACAGACATATTTTGTAAATGTCGACTTCATAAATAAGGATAGAGCTAAACAGGGGGGTCAATCTAAAATAAAATACGTTCTTGATATTAAATTGTACAAATATTTATAACAACGATTAAAAATAAAAGTTTATCTACAGTCGTGATTATAACTATATAGTTTATACTTTATAGTACTAATATTAAAAAAAAATCATTTTTTAAATAAAATTTGTGCAGTATTTATGGACGCTAAATATTTGTTTTCAGGCCACTCTGACTCGTCGACAGTATAAGGTATAATTATTAAAAAAAATTCCCACGATAATAATCTTTGCGTAAAAATATTTCTTTGTACACAAATTTAATTTTATTCCTCTAGTTTGAATTTGTAATTTTGGTTTGTGGTATTCTCAAAATATAATTTGAGAAAACTAACAAGGTGTGCATAAAAGTTATTTTTATTGTACTCGAGTTGAGAAAAAAGCAATATTTTGTTCATTAATTAAGAGAGTGAATACATTTATTTTGTGTATAATGTTTAAGTGGTTGGCCATTCATTTTGTCAATATTCAAGTATTGCTAGCATTATAATTTATAAACTGATCTTGAGATGTTTAACATACATTCTTGACTTCATAATGTGGTTCATTTAAATCGATGGAATATTTTTTTAAGTTATCTTGCGCTTATAAATGTGTAAACATATATATTGATATATATGAAAAGCTTGTATAGTGATTTTTTTAACGCTAATCGTACTAAAATAATAATAATAATAATAATAAATAAAAAAATTATTTTTTTAGTCTTTGTTAGTTACATATGTATCTACATTTATCTGTTATAAAATGACTGTTTTATAACAAATTTTGGAGTACCATTCAACCTTTCATGATACTTATCAGATTTAATTTTTATTAAGAACGTGGAATATTTAAAATAATCTAAATAATAGTTGATGAAAATTGTAATACAGGCACACCAATAAGTATTTATCAAAATCAAATTAATCGAATTATTCGATTTTCGAATAAATTGCCTGATAAAATTTATTAAAAATGTATAAAATCACTAGATTGTTATTTAATGTATGAAAATAATCGCCTATTTTTAAATTTTGAATATAAAATAATGATTAAAAAATTTAATTAAGCCCACTTAACATTTATACTGGTAATCAATTGTTACTAACAACGAGGACAATAGGAACCCGTTTCTTACTTACTGAATATTCCTAGGTGGAGGCCAATAAATGTCTAGTGATAAAAATAGCAGCACGCACTACTCGCTCCAGACATTACTTTAAATTATTAATAACATCTTATCCAAAAATTATTATAAACCCGTCATTTTCTTAGTTAAATCATTTTTTATTTTATAAGATAATTGAATATGTATGTTTCCATTAAAAAAAATAAAGTTGACACCTCTACAAGATATAAGGGATGAACATAAAAAATATTTTTCAACAGATAAATTAAGATACATACGTAAGTAACAAAAGCCAAAATCAAAATTCACAAACAAATTATTCTTTTAAGAGAAATCGAGTGAGTAGCGTTAAAAGCATCACCTGTTTTGATTAAAAAACCCTTTGACTATGATTTGTTTACTATTTTAAATATTCTACTTGGTTTTATTCAAACAATGATGGTGGGGACTGAGTCTCCTATCGTTCCTCTCCATTTGAGGTTTTTTTTTTTAAATTTGTCTTGAATGATTTATATGAATAAATTATTCATATAATTAAATATTATCATAATTATAATATTCAATGTTCTTCTATCATTGTTAACAAATAATGCTATTGAAATATAGTATACTCCTATTTATATGTATAGATAATAAAAATGTGATATTATTATTAATTATTAATGTATATACTTAGCACCAAGTATCATAGCAAACCTAATTTTTGGATATTTTTAATGATTAAGGTATAAAGTACTCAAAATTATTATATCTTCTTGGTTAGCAATTTTAATAATTTTAGAAATTAACCAATTAAAACAACTTTAGTCAACCTATTTAAGTTGTTATTTTAAAAAATTTCACTTTTAAAGTAAACTATTCAAACAATTTAAATGATACGTATGCGTATCGATTCATATGGATGCGAATGTAGCAAGATATTTTATTATTTTGTGTAAGATATTTTTTTAAACAATAAATCAAAGTTTGAGAATGGTTAATTTATTCTCCATATCCGTCGAGGATGTGGGTGATCGTGTCTAGTGGAAGTTTAGGATTAGGTGGCCGACCACAAGTAATTGGGATTAAGGCGAGGAAAAAGAAGAATTTATTGTTATAATTGTTGTATTCGTGTATTTTGAGACGAACTTTATAAGACTACTCAGTAGTATCATAATTTTATAAAATAAAAAATAATTACATTGCAATAAAATAAGTATTAAGATTTTTACTACTTACTTTTGTATCTGAAACAATATTCTTTAACAATATTACAATTAATATCGTAAGAAGTAATATTAATTACGGTATATATAGTATTGGTGGATACATAGATGATAACGGCGTGTATAAAAAAAGAATATTTATTTTATGTATATTTTAGATTTAATTTCGATAAAATTGCATCTGTATTTTTGTTTAATTTTACACCTATTTTACTTTTACCATAATCGGAGTATTGAAAATTATTCTATTGAACTATTAAAGTTTTAATCTTAGCGACAATATCTTTTTAAACACATTAATAAGGATTAATAAACTATATCTATCTTTGAGAACTAACACTCAATGGCTTATACTTGCTGCCATAATATTATTAGTATGCTTAGGGACTTGTATCTCTATAAAACATAAAAAGATGCATTCTTTAAAAAATAACGAAATATGTATGTACATGCATTTAAAATTAATGATTTTTAGCTTCGATGCGAAGCTGAGAAGGTATTAATTTTACTATGTTAAATGGGGTTTTTTTGTGCGTTACAACTTTTTCTCAGCTCTCACCGAACTGATTTCTTTTTACGATACGCCAAAATATAATAAATTGTTTCGAGTCGATAACATTACATTGAAAATTATACATTTAAATATTAAAATAGTTAAAATACATTTGTCGTGTGCAAACATTAAAGTTGTTTCCCTAAGTATATGCGTATCCGCGTGCACACACGTCAGCGTTCGGACGACGTTGTCGGTCGTCCGAACATTATTCTAAAACATATTATAAGCGATACGCCCAAACGTATACGTGTGGGAGGGTACGGTTAAGCTGCGATCTTATGTACTGGGTTTGGACGACCAGCAGCGTCGTCCATCAGCATAATATTAGTATTTTATTATTATGAGTAATTTATTTTTAGAATTAACAAACGTGTACGCTCGTCCATATCGGTTGCTATAATACAGGGGTGGGCAACTGCCGGCCCGCGAGCCATTTTTATATGGCTTAAATTTGACAATTTTTTATACCTATGACTAGCGGTATAATATTTAAAGTCACACCCCCACCACCAGTACCCACGAACCGCCACTGGAATTCGTAGTCTTGGGCATGTTTAATTTTTCAATATACTGTTTTGAAATTTAACAAGCAGTTCTATTGATCAAATAGATCATCGGAAAATAATTTTATGCACGACTAACAGTCTTTTCATTGTAACTATATTTTTTATAACAACGGGTTATATTATTTTTTATCAAATGTTTACGCATTTTTCCCGTCACAACCTGCTTTCTACTCAAGTACAAAAACGATCTTAATTTCTGAAATAATGGTTAAAAGTAGTTTGAAACAAAACAAAACGATAAATAAAAAAATCTTAATTTTAACCTCATTACATACATCTACCACAAAATATGGTATTGTTTTATATTTTATATTATTCAAGATACTACTGGGTAGTCTTTAAAAGTTTGATTCAAAATACATGAAAATTTAAATTATCAATATGTTGTATTGTTGAAACAAAAAACACCCTAATTATAATCGTTTTCACACGTTGAATAATTGTGAAACAAAATATCTTTATGTACTATATTCGCATACGTATTTAAAGCGACAATGTGTTAAATAAAAACCAAATTAACTGAGTAAAGTTAATTGAATTGATTAATTGCTAAAATTAAAATTAATTTCATTGAAACACCTAATAATGGTAATACCTAATACTCCAGCCCTCTAGGTACGAAATTCGTATCACATAGAGCAGTAAGAATTTATGCACTTTTTCTTATTTTTTTAAAAAGTATTTAAATTGTGTAACAACTCTCTAACGTAGGAGTTATAATGAATACAATCAATTTGGTTTATTAAAGTGACATTTCATTTATTTTATTAAATACAATTTTTTAGGAATTATTTGAAATAAATGTTAACTATTTTAATCTTCGAGAACAATGAATATTATATTAATTAAATTTAAATTTAATTTGTGACATTTAAAAATCATTAATTATTTATCATTATACTGGATTTGAAGGGCTTGACAATGAAGGATTAGGCTAAAATAATTAAAATGATTAATAATAACCACGTAAAAAGAAAGGAAATTGTTGGTAAACCTTCCATGATTAAATTTTTCATTAAGTCAATCCCTGATTGTTTTTATATAATTAAAATTACCGCGTGGAAATTATGTGCGATTTACATTCCATTATTATATTTATCGAATTTGCTACAGTTCATATTTTGATTTTTCATACCCCTTACTTTGAAAGGATTATTGAATAATGGCTTTGAATTATCAAAACTCAATTGAGTTTTGATCTAAGTTATTATTTTATACTAACGCTAAATTGACGTAATCTTGTCCACCATAATGATCATTTTTTTTCCATATAATATAAAACAATTTCACTGCTTTGATAATAATTTTTTTTTATTAATGTTAATATATCCATGGATATATTATTACTAATGCAAATTTATTAAAAAGTTTAAACTTTTATATGGTACATACATTTTCTTTAAATTACTTTTTACAACTTATATGTTTTGTATGGTTTTATTGTGTTTTAGTCAAAATTATGTGTCAATCGAACAGAAAGTAAGACCGGGAATATGTATAACACTAAAATAAAGGTTAGTAATATTATTGGGTTTAAGTTTTAGCTTCGATGCGAAGCTGAGAAGGTATTAATTTTACTATGTTAAATGGGGTTTTTTTGTGCGTTACCACTTTTTCTCAGCTCTCATCGAACTGATTTCTTTTTACGATACGCCAAAATATAATAAATTGTTTCGAGTCGATAACATTACACTGAAAAATTGAAAATTTTTCCTTCGTTCCCCGTAAATGGGGGAAATCTCCAAAAAAATTACAAATTTAAAAATCTCTAATTTTCGACATTTTTTTTACTTAAAACTGCCATAACTTTTTCAAAAATAACCACATAAATATAATTTTTTTTTATAGATACATTATGTCTTTACCTATCATTTGATATATATTTTTTATAAATTTGACTATTTACCTGCCCACAAGGGGTGATTCAAAATATCAACTTTTTCACAAAAAATTAACTTATTCAACTTAACTTTTAAATACTAACAATTTAATATATACCATAAATCAAATCTTATGTAATATACATTTTAAAAAAAATGTTGAACTTTATTTTGTTTTCATGATGAAAATAGCTACCGTATGCTAATTTTGTGTTAAAATTCTCGACTTTATATATTATATTTTTAACTTTATACTTCTATTATAAATTAAATTAAAGCTTATTTAATATACTTTAATATGAAAAAGAAAAATGTTGGACTTCATTTTGTTTTCATGGTGAAACGGACATCAAAGTTAATAAAAAAAATTCGTATTTATATTTTTAACTTTATAATACTATAATTTTTTGAAAAATGTATGGATCATTATAATTTTTATAAGATAAGTACTATTTATATTCTTCATTTATGCGACATACTTGTTTTTTAAATCGGACCATTTCCTTTTATATATTTATATATATATATATTACACTTATAAATCATAAAACTTGTAATCAGAATATAAATAAGGAAATAGAATATCATGTAGCTTTTGGAATAATCCACCAATTTTTTAAAACTAAACACTATCGACAGATTTGCATTGAAGCTTTTTTTATAATAGTGATTTTAATCACTGTCAGATATCTTTATACTTGACCCAACTGTCATGTCCTCACTGTGCCGTGACCCCACTGTGTTGGTTTTTTTTTTTTTAATATATATATTAAATATTTTATTTTTACAGGAAAAATCATCATTATCATCTCTACCTTTCATAGTAAGTTTTATTTAAAAATAGATATTTTAAAGGTTAAAACCCAAGCAATAAAAATAAATTGCACGGACATATACTGTTTCTCAAAATCTTTTTTAGAAATTCTCGTTGATTTATCAGAATAGTGTTATTTACATTGTTAGGACCTTTTGTTAATTCTATTTAAAATTTAACTACCAAATTTGGTATAATGTTGCCTGTAATTACAATTATCATCAATTTGTATATCCTAACGATAATATTATAAATAGATTTTTTGGGTTTGTAATAAAATATTATTAAATTATACGAACAAAAAAATTACTTGTGCTTAATAGTAATCTTTTATTGTAGTATATAGAATGTTCAGTTAGTAAAGAAACATCAATTGTTATAAGTATTGAGAACAACTAAAGACCATTTCCTGACTTTCTGAACACTATAAAATAGTCATAATTTTTTTTTTAAGTGCACTTAGACCATTATTTAAAAATCACTGTGTGTGTTTTTAATCAATTTTACCAAATTGATTTATTTAGCTAATGTATCCTATATTTTTGTCATAAAATGCTAAAAAATTACCATACGTCTTATTATTTTTCTGCTATCAATAAGTGAAATATGATTTCTGTTGAAAAGTTTACCTTTTTACACATTTTTACAAAAAAAATTTTCTTTAAAATGTTAAGAAAATCTGAAGGTCTAAAAATAAAATTTAACTTAAGGTGGTTTTTCAGTATTAGACGTCTTATGTTTAAGGTCAGAATATATCATGATCCTTTATAATTTATCTATTTATCTTGTTTTAATACAGTTTAGACTTTTTTTTTATGTTACAGCCTGTTGTAAAACCGTCAACAGCACAAAGTAGACTTCAAAAGTACCCCAAAAAATGTGATGAAACCGAAATAAAAGTATGATAATATAAAAATTAAGTATTAAATAATTCACACTTGACTATACAACTAAATTTTAAGTTAATTAACACCCAAGAAGTCAAATATTTAAATTATTATGCGACTAATTTGTTTCTAAATCCTCTTTTGTATTTGCATTTCAAGTAGCAGTATTTATTAAATAACTTGAAAAGAAGAAAACAAAATCTTATAAATAAAAATTCTATACATAAGAGATTTGTAGAATTCCAAATTTGAATTCTACAAATCTCATTTGATCAATCATTTAATGATTAATAGTTTTGTAAGCTGATAATTAACTCGGGGCTATTCAATTTTCCTAGAAATTTTTTATTTTGTATTTTGTAAACAAATTTTTTATTGACTGTCGGGATTTCTTATTTTTAAACCTATGTGTCACAATAAGATTACATTCTTAATAATATTAGTTTAGATCATATCCCGTTATGATTAACCAATTAACTATAGATCTTATTTTTAATGTTTAATTTATAAATCTGATGATTGAATACTATAAAGTAGTATTGAAGTTTATAAAATCTAACATTAGTAGTTTAAATCGGCATTAAATGTTTTTTTAATTTATATCTTTGTCTTTTTTATTAAACGTATTACATTTCGTATTATACTAATTATAATAGAAAAATGAATGTACTGTTTAAAAAAAGTATTTTATTAAAATAAACATTTTACCACTGAATTTGGGATAGTTATTCGAACTTTTATGCCAGGAAGTAGTAAGTTAAATATTTGCTATTCCGAAATACGTCTTTTAATAAATGGGAAACTTAATTTTTTATAATTCTCCGAAAATCATTGAATAATGAGACACATGTTACCCATTGTACAAAATGTAAATTATCAATGTTATCATTACTAGATAATGAACATTGAATGCGTAGTTTTATATAGTTTGGAGTAAAAGCATATCGATTATAATAAAATTGTATTTCAATTTTCTATATATATACATTTATCTTCAGTCTAGACGAATTATTTTATTGACTTCCCCAGGTGTTCTTTCAGTCGTATACACTACAATGTCATAATTTACTGCGTGATATTTGTTGCCCATTTTCTTATTTGAATATGCAAACATGTTTTTATAAGGTTGTAATTATTATACCTTAACTATTATTTCATTTGAAATTTCCCATTAACATTTCTATTTTATTGAATTTGACATATATTTTGCATAAAAATATAAACCATGGAAAATAAATCATTTGTTAAAACATGTTTAGAACATATTAAAATTATTAAGGAAGCAAGTAGAAATCTCGAGTGCTTATTAGCAGATTTGTGTTGTGATGTAAATTTAATTACTATTGACTTTTTGTAAGTTTTCTTATTAAATTTACTTATAGGACATTAATAAGGAAGTTCTTCAACCTGTTAAAGAATCAAATGCAGTGTTACCTGAAAATGTCAGTTCATCAGGCGAATTTTATGATGTTGAGGTTTGATAATTTATTCATTTGTGTATTAATATTAAAATAATTTATAGGTTTTAAAAATGATACAAGTCTTTTTAAGGAAGGCTGACATAGTGAGAGTACCTCGTGAATTTAGTTAATTATTAACTGATAAAAATTAAAGTATAATTTTACCCCGGACTTAATTTAACTATTCATTTATTTTTTAATTAAAAAAAAAAAAAATTGGAGATCCATCACTGAATGGTTTCTCCAACCATGTCTAACTGTAAATTATAAATAATTTTTTAAGTCGCACCACATACTTGTTGTACGAATGTAATGTACAGATTATATATTTTCTAAAAAAAAAATCTCCCTTGCTGTTTTGGGGACATACAATTTTTTGGCCATGCTTCTTTCTTTTTTTTTACAGTATGAAAACATTACAAGTTGATTTATATAAATTTGTTTAACATCCTTTCAACTACTGATTGTTTTTGATAGAGATAGCAGAAAACCCTATTTGAGTTAGTTTTATGAAATTATTTCAAAAGATTATCTTAGGTCATACTAAGCACATTATATTAGCACATATATTGTTGATTTAAAATTATGCAATTTAATAGGATATTTAACATACAATATAATGATCTGATATTAATATACCACATTTATATTATTTTAGTTTTAGTATATTAAAAAAAAAAGTGGATTGTCCTAGTATCAAAACTATCAATATATAACCAAGTATCAATAAATTAAATTTATTTCAAAGTTTAATTTGTTTAATATTGCTAATAGTTTAATATGAAAAAATGTTAATAAGTTGTTTAAAGCATAATTTTTTGCAAACAATCCTAATAACTAGTAATTTTGGATTATTCTTTATTTAAATAATGATGCAAACTTTTCTTTTGACTAAAAATTATACTACCATTCATTGATTTCTGTAAAAATATTTTGCTATATGTTGTAATCATTCTATAAATATTGTAAAAAAATATAAATGTTTTTATAATCTTGGAAATAAATTGGTTTTGATACTAGATGCTCTAATGTATTTAGTTCAAGATAAAGAACATTCTTTCTTAATTGATCTAGGTGTCATAAAAATGACTATTTTATGACATTTTTCTACAAATAAATGATTTTAATTTTGTATAAAAATTTATATTTTTTACAAGTGTCACAATTGTTTTTATGTTTTCATTAGATGTTTAAAAATACCGATTATGTTACTGAATTGGAGTCATATATCAAAAAAGCAAAATTATCTGATCCATTTTATGACTGTATGATCAAAAAGGAAAAATTTGGCAAAGGCATTAAATTAATTCACATTTGCACTATTAATGTAAGTACGTTTCTTAGTTAAAACTTCAATAACAGAGTTTATAAGTTAACATTTCTATACATTGTGATATATTATTATTATATTATTACTATTATAGTTTTATTTCATTAAATTTTTGTTTGTATTATAACCAATTCAGTTTGGGTTTTTTTTTTGAGTGATTTGTATTGTTCCTTAAGTTTTTAATTACTTTTAATATACAGAAGAAGTCATTGATGGTAAGTATTTAATCTACTTGTAGTAAGTAGGGCATACCTAGTGGTTTTCAAGTATAGCATAATTTTTATTAATTTTGGTTTAATGAAAATAAAAAGATCTATTATGCTATCCGAATCTTTAGTGGTTTATTTTTATTTTTTAAGATGTTTATTTTCAATGGTAGTATAAAAAAAAATTTTTCCAATAATGTGATTAAGGTTTAGCGATAGACTAATCACCCGTCCCATATTATCAATAGTTAAAAAACAACTCTTTGAGGAGATGCTATAGCCCTTAATGACCTGGAAAAGTGTAAAAAAATATATTGGTTTTGTTTATGCTGAAATATCAGATATGCTGATATCAAATTTAATTGAGAGTTGCTTAATTTATGTCAATTAGAAACATTTAACGTTTGCTTAAAAAAATGCCTTCAATTTATTTTAAATGAATTTTCATGACTTTGTGTTTTATGTCTGGAGGTGGAGGACCCATCCACAATTGCCTAACCTTACTATAAACTTAGATAAAAATTATTTGAGAAAAAATGCAAATTCAAAGATTTAAACTTTGTTTGTTCTACTACACATGATTTTTGACAAAATATTAATATATAACCAATTACAATGGATTTCTTCATCATACAAACTGGAATTATATTTATACTTACGTTTTGTAGTTGTACTGAACTTTTTAAAAACTTTAAAAATTATGAAGAAATTGTAAAATATAATAATGGATTGGAAAATTTATTTTTCAAAAATTTATGTCTTATGTTCTCAAATATGTAGTTCAGTTATTAATTGTATTTAATTTATTTCAGTATCAGTTAATTATTAAATGATATGTATTTTAACAGAAATTTTTAACTCTTTAATTAATTGAAATTCTCAAATATATATTGTAGGTTAATGGTGGAGCAGTTGGTAGTTCATTCCCTATAGAATGTAACTCAGTTGAATTGGCAAAAAATGTAGCTGCTAAAAGTGCTCTCTCTACTTTAAAAATACAATACGGAGAAAGTATAGATTACCCAGTTACAGAAGATATTAATGAAATGGCTTCTCGTGTAAAACATGTTAGTAAATACTTAAAAATATTACCTGGTATATAAATATATTTTTTAGCTTCAATGTGAAACTGAGAAGGTATTGGTTTTACTATGTGTTTTTTTTTTTTTTGTGTTTGTTACCAGTTTTTCTCAGCTCTCACCGAACAGATTTCTATCAACGATACGTCAAAAGATCAAAAATCGTATCTAGTTGAAGACATTACCCTTAAAAATTGATAAAATTTCCCTCGTTCCCCGTAAATGGGGTAAAACTCCAAAGAATTTACAAATTTAAAAATCGTTAATTTTCGAAAATTATCAGGAAATTACTGATAAATAAAAATCTTTGACTTAGTAATATTTAAGTTAAGTGTTAAGATCTTTTAGATTTACTATTGTATTATTTTTCAAAACATTTATTTTTGAGCATTAAATATAATTATTCAATTTAACAAACCATTTTGTTTGGTTCTAAAATCAGTATTACTGAATTAAACAATATAATTTATGACATATTTTTTACACATTAAACAAATTTCTCAGAAGATATTAACCTCAAAAATTGAAAAAATTTCTGTCGAAACCTCCAACAAAATTACAAATTTAAAAATCGCTAATTTTCGACATTTTTAAAAAAAATTTTACTTAAAACTGCCATAACTTTTTTAAAATTGTCTTTACCTATCATTTGGTATATTTTTTTTATAAATCTGACCCTTTACCTGCCCACGAGGGGGATTTAAAATGACAATTTTTTCAAAAAAATTTTACTTTTACACTTAATTTTTGAAAGTGTTTCGGAAAGTCTGACACTTTTATATATATCTTAAATTAAAGATAATGTAATGTACTTTATTTTGAAAAAGAAATTTCGGACTTTATTTTGTCTTCACAGTGAAAATGGCTACCAAATGCTATTTTTGTGTGAAAATTCTCGATTTTTTTTTTACATTTTTTAACTTTATAATGCTATAACTTTTTGAAAAGTTTATGGATCAACACAATTTTTTTATGAGAAATAATATTTTTTAATAATCCCTATTTCATTTGACATACTTTATTGTAATCAGGATATTAATAAGGACCTAGCAGATCATGTAGCTTTTGGATTAATCCACCAATTTTTTAAAATTAAACACTATCTAAAGATTTGCATCGAAGCGTTTTTTTTTTATAGTGATTTTAATCACTGTCAGATATTATTATACTTGATCCAATTTTTCTACGTTACCACTGTGCCGCAACCTTCCTGTGCTGGGTTTTTTTTTATTGAGCCTTGGACTTAAAAACCCTTATAGTATCTAAAATGTTCTTAAAAATCCTATATAAAAAAAAAAAACCACAAAAAATAGAAAATTAAAATATTAATACATGATTTACAAAGTTGTCATAAAATAAAAGTACATTATTAAAATCGCTCAAAACAAAATGCTAGTTTTATATTTATATATATATATATATATTTTTTTTTCTTTTTTCTTACATCTAATAAACTTATTCATCTACACCAAATTGTTTTAATAGAAGTTGAAAAAATTATTACAAATTCAAAAAATATGAGTATGCCTTTAAACCTTAAATAATTTTACATAAATCAAATTTTGTACGAGGGGAACATTATCCAAGATAACCCTACTAAAAATAAAATATGCAATTAAATCAATGGCTTATTTATTATGTTGTAAAAAAATAACATACATCTTTTTTTTCATTAAATTCTGAATTTTTCTATTGTATTAATTAAATTAAATTAAATTTATTATTGTTCTAGACATTTTGTGTCCTAATTACTGTGTCTATTGGCTAGTTAATGATTTGGTCAAAAATATTTGCTTAAAACTTAAGAGTTGCTAATATGTATATATATATATATAAGAAACTTCTTATAAATGGTAGTAACTAGTAGTAACATTAACTAGTTTATTGAGACATTAAAAGCTTAAGGTTTTGCTCAAATTCTATGTAAAGATCAAACATTTACTTGTATAAAAAGTTAGAGGACTTTAATTTAGTTAAAAGTGATCAAATTTATAACAGTTTATTTTTGAAATAAATTAATAATTTTACTCCTTAGCTTTTGAAAATAAATAGTCATGAGTCTGGTCTTATGAGTGATGTCCTGGAACAAATGTATAGAGAAACATATAAACAAAATATGTTGGACAATTGGATTCAATATTTAGATGTTTTTAACTATTTCACTTTTGATAAACTGGTTGCTAATAAAACTATTATATATTTGGTAAATTTCTCATTGAAGTTTTATCAATTCTTGATCTATGTATAAATATTTTTTTTTCTTTTTAATAATAGAATGAACATAATAACATAAACCAAAATGGGGAAGTAAATGAAATTAATGGTACTTCTGATGTGTCTGTAGACAACATAGATATTGATAGTCCTTTGACAGTTGTAACTATTAATAATTATGATGAAAAATCAGTTCTTGTTACAGCCATTTACAGTTCAATTGGAGTTAGCATTCGCTTTGTTGGTTCAAATGTTGATGTATAATAAATAAATAATTTTTATTTCTAAATAAATAGTAAATATTGTCATATTTTCTTTTAGGAATCTTACATTAAAATGCAAGCTAAGTTCAATGATACAATGAACACTAGTTTTCATTTAGTAGAAGAAGTTGTCGAAGGAGAATATTATGCTGTACTTTTTGAGTCATTATGGCATAGAGTACAAGTTACTAGCTTGATTGAAGAAGATTCATCTGTCACTTGCTACATGATTGATACAGGGGATTCATTGACTGTTTCTAAAGATCAGATCTGTCTTTTAGATCCAGTTTTTAAAAAAATAAAAGCTCAGGTTTGAATTTATTATTATTTTAGCTGCCTTAGGTTATAATTCATGGTTACACTTAGTTATCTTATTGGGTAATGTACATATGCTAAGACTTATGATTTGTATATCTATAAACTAAATATTTTTGTTAAATAAAAGCTATTTAAAGATTATTTTTTTATGGTGAAATCTTGTTTATTTATTTTTCATATTTTTTACATGAAGGCTGTTCAGTGTGCTTTAACACAGCTTGAAAACTTTAGCACCTTTATTGGCTTAAAGGAAATACTAGATGAAATGTTGCTCAATAAGTCATTTATCTTAATACCTGATAACCTAGAGGATGATCCCAATTTGCCGACAGTAACATTATATGAAAAAAAAGGAAATGAATTTACTAATGTAAACGAATTGATTATTACAAAATTTTTAACAAAAACAGTTACCAAACTACCATCTTTTGAGGTTTATCTCTTTATTAATCTAAATTTTATCATTTAATTTAATAACCAATTTGTATAATAATTTTGTTTATGTAGGAAAATGCAATTGTTGATGGAACTGTTTCAGCAGTGACTATTTCAGGTTATATTTATTTACAACTGAATACTGACATAGTTGCTTCACTTGAAGAAATATTACCAACTGAGTGTGAAGAGTATTTAGATACTGAATATTTTCTAAAAAGCAAGGATGAAATTCAGAAAGATAAAATATATTTGGCCAAATATGAACCAGATAGTTGGAGTCGGGTTCAAGTTCTAAATGTTCTTAATGATTCTGAGGTTTTTGTTTTGACCATTTTATATTTTTACTAGATGTGCTTGGAATGCACTTAAATATTGGTGAAGGATTCATGAAAAAATTTTTTTAATGTCATAAATATATTTTTTTTATAATTTGTGTAGGAATTAGTATTCCTACACAAATTAACAATACAATTATTAATTATTATATGTTAATGTTAAATTATCAATTTTTTCTTTATTGGTTGTGTCTTACCAGTAACAATAGATTTGTTATAAAGTAAACGGTTTAAAATTATGTATTTTGAATTTCAGTAGGTTTTACTTTTTTGTAATAGTTTCAGAAAAATAAGTCCTTTGTTTTTGGAAATGTTTCTTGAACGTTCAATTACTTTTGAACCATGTTTATAGTGACCAATTATGGATCTATCCATTTTTATATTAGAAGAAAATTCTGAAGTTAATACTTAGGTCACGTTTTAATTGTATTGTGTGAGCAAAGCAAAGTATTAGTTTTAATTTAAAAAAATTTAGACCTATATATATATATGTTTAAATGCCTTACTAGACCACTGGTTGAAAAAAAAAACTCTGGAACATTTGTTACATACAGCTTTTATAGGAGTAAGTCTTTAAAAAAACCATATTAGCAAAACACTTGAATTGCTAACATTTAAAAGTATAGCATTGATTATTGGCAGTTTATCAACACCTTGATACATTTTAAATAATGGAATACACATAGGTTTTAAAAACAAAAGGTGCAAACAATAAATTTTTTAAGTATAATAAGACATATGTAAAGACTTATTCACACAATTTGAGGTTTTACACATTGATATTCTGTAGTACACAATAAATATAGTATCAATAGTCTTGGAAATATATACATTGTTTGTATTTCATCATTGTTTAATTAAAAAAATTATCTAGAAATGAATTGATAACATATTCTTGGATTTTTAATAACAATACATATAAAACTTATATCAGGAAAAAATTTGTTTCTGAATTTTGGATCCTAAGCACCTAATTTTACCTATTGTACAAATTTAGTACATAGTTATATATAGTGTTTTTTATACATCTAAAATTTTAATCTAGGTTGATGTAATTTATGTTGACTATGGTAATAATGGAAAAAGTGAAATCACTAAATTAGTCGACTTAGAAAAATTTGATCCTCTTATGACAAAAATTCCAGCTCAGGTACAAATAGTTACATAATTTTTAAAATGTGAATTAATAAAATTCAATGTTATAGGCTTCAAAAGTAACTATGAACTTGTTGCCTCCTAGTACTATGACTCCTGAAATAGCTACCAAAATTTATGAGATGGTAGGAAATGAAAAAGTGTTGGTAAATTTAATTAATGCACCAGCTGATGATGTTCCTTGTATTCAACTTTATAAAATTCAACCTGAAACAGATATTCCAGTTTGTTTAAATATCAAATTGGCTCAAAGGTATCATATTCTATAATTTTAATGACCTCAATATAATATTTTTAAAAATTTTCCTGCAAACATGTCATAATATTTGGTATTAATTATATATATTATTCTTATTATATATATTATCAATATATTGAGAAACTCAAATTTAGATTTATATCTTTTATTTTTGATTATAAACATATTTTTAATCACACCAGTATTTTCGATATAGTAATTACAGGACAACAAATTTATACTATTTAAGTGAACTCCTTTATAGTTTTGCTTCTGAATTTGAATTTGATGTTTCAGAATTTTTTATCACATCTATTTTTAAGATCATATTCAATAAATTATTAAGTATTTATTAAAGTCAAATGAAGCACATGTAAATGATTGAGTGGGAGATTGTGAATTCATTAACCCTCTTAGAACTTGGTATATATTACTTCAAATAAGGCAATTTCAATCCTCAAGTTTATAGTTCTCTTGATATGTATTAACAAAAGATAAACACGTATGCGTCTCCTTTTAATAGTACTTGTTTACATTTATCACTCAACCCTAAACAATTATATCATTATAAAAAACTAATAAAATAACATTTTTTTAACTTGCCAAATTTATTTGATGATGTTAAAAAAGTGTTAAAAGAATGGAATTAAAAATAATATTTAACTACTGTCTAAACAAAAGTATTTTAACAATTTAATTCAGAAAAAGTAAACTAGACAATAAATATAATATAAGACGGTAAATACGATGCAACGACAATGACAATACCTTTAACAGTCTTACGAGAGTCCCAAAAAAACAATTCACATAGCAGCCTGTTGTTTTGTAATACTACATCAGTATAAATTATAAATGTTCTACCTAATATTAAAATAAATGATAACACTAAATTTTAATTTCAACAATATGAATTCTGCAAAGTTTTACATATGAAAATTATTTTGTGATTTATTAATTTATTTAACTTTTTTACACCCTCAAAGGCAAAAATATGTATCAAATTTAAATTTACATTTAAATTATACCTTATTAATGACTATCAATATAAACAAATCAAATTAATTGTTTGTTTTTTTCTTTACCAATCATATTTGCAAAATATTTGTATCTTTTTAATACAATTTATTAACTATGTGCTGCCACACATAAAATCTAATTACAACATTGTCTTAATGATCAAAAAATACATAAGGATGTAAAACTTCTTTTCAAATTCACAAAAAATTGTATTATAAAAGACATGCAATAAAAATTACAATTTTTTTGAATTTATGAACTTTACATATAATATTTTTCACAATGATTGTGCTTTGGTCTGTAATTACTTGTTAAAAAAGCAAAAAAAAAAAAAATCACATTTTTATCAATATTTTGGAATTTCTGACAAAATTATCTATTGGTAGCAATTTTATAATTATGAGATTAACTTGAAAACTCTCATTACAGTGGAAAATTCTGCTTTTTTTCTGAAAATGCCCATAAAATTCTAATTTTAATGTCTATATAGATTGATTAAACTTAACAAATAAGCTCCAAATTTTGTACAATTATTTTTTAATATATTAAGTTACATAAGGGAAGTTAAAAAAAGTTATTTTTCAATTTTTTGTTATGATTTAATAATGACTTAATTTTTTATTAGTAATTATCTCAAAAACTAGATGTGATGGAAAAAATCTGATGTCTGATTTAGAATCTGCATCAAAATTATATAAAGTATTCTCCTAAATGTTAACACCAAAATAGCTATTATCCTGTGTAATACTTGTTAATTTTTCTAGCATCAAAAAGCAGTAAATACCAAATGACTACTACTGTTAAAATGAAATCATATTATCAACAAATCTACATAATTTATTCTGTTTATATAATATCCTATTCTTGAATTCTTTATAAAATTTAATAATACTTCCAAAACACAAAGAAAGTTTTTTATTCTTCTACTTGATTGTGTAATTGTACCTATATTTTTTGAAGACTGTTGATTGTTTTATAAACTTATTATTCATTTTGATATTTATTTGTTTATAATATATTTTGTTTCTAATGCATGAATATTCTAAATACTAAGTAAGTTACATTATATTTGTTATGGTTAAAATGGTTATATTAGTTATGCTTAATTCAAAATAAATAGTTTAATAGTAATTTTAAATAAATCTACTATTTTCTATGTTATAAATTGAATAGCTTTAATATTTTGTTGACTTAAACTGTTATTAACTTGAATAAAATAATTTTTATACTTATATTTAATCAAGTATTAAGACATTATTTATTTTTTTATTTTTAAACTGCTAGTAGTTAAGTATCAATTGTAATGGTGTTTAGTTACCATTATTGTCAAAAATTATTATAATAAAACGCAAACAGCGCATCGGCTACTAGAGACTGATGAATCGACAATAAAAAAAATAATTATCACAATATTAGCTATCATCCAAATGATTATTTAAACCCCAAGGACCAGGCCATGGGGTCAGTTGATTCCAGTACATAGCCTTGTTTTGTGTAATTCATCAGTCTCGGTACTCGGTTGTTGCTGTCCGGCTTACTGTGATAAAGTCAAGTCTTTGTTCTTCCTTTTCACTTATTTGTTTTTGTCCTCTACATTAAGGATACTTTTGTCTTCATTTCGTATTTTGTTATATTCCTTACCGTATACACTCGGTATTTGTATCATGCACTTCTTCTACACCCCATACCTTCGTATTACCCTTATTTTTTAACTATAACAACGCCCTTTTTGACACCCACAGCCGACCTAGAGTCTAAGTCGAGCTCGGTAACTGCTGTACAATCACACGTACATGAATATCCAGACAGCAGACTTATCGTCTTCGTACCTACACTACACTTGCCTACTGTAGATTCTTTTTGTTTTACAACACAATTTGAGTGCTTATTTCACTAAAAAAGTGTTGGATGTAGTGTGTGGTGCAGTGAATCATTCAATCACTGTCTTAAAGCTGATTTTCAGCTGCCTTGTTTTGCTGTTTCAGGATTGATAACTGTATGGGAACTTGAACTGTTGTACATACCTAGCTCTTATACTGGTTCCCTCAGCCATTATGAAGTTGAAGCCGGTTGGCAGCTCTGCATATAGTCCTTTTTTTGACATAGTGATAAACATTTTTTATTAAATAAAACTAATGAATTTAAAGTAGAACATTCACTAATTAAATATTACAAGATAATTCACTAACTGTCTTATGCAATATTTTCAAAAATGTAGTATCCCAAACAGTTTAATTAATTTTTATGTTTTATAAATTAAATAATTTTAACAGCAACTCAAAACAAAAACATCTATATTTAAATTAAAATTAAATAGCATAAATTGATTTAGTAAGTTCAGTTCCTTGATCAATGTCCTCAATTAAGGAAGATGCAAGGAGTTGTGGTGTAACTGATGTATTCAAGTAATCTGAGACTAAACATCTTGCTGATTTTCCACCTCCGTGTTTTAAGCATTCACTTCGTAATCGTTCGCCTTGTGCATTGTTAAGCGGGTCGCTAATTAAAAATTTATGCCATGTTTTTGCTGCAATGGCTTTTGATACTAAATATGAATAATATTTTGCACCATAACCAACAAAGTGCGAAAAACGTAGTTGCCATGCCTAAAAATTTCACAATTATCATTAAGCACATAATGAAATTTAAGTAATGATAGTAATAAGTAATTTACAGTATTTTCTACATAAGGTAGTCCATAATACTCAGCTTGCAATTTAGCAAGCATATTAGTAGTAGTTCGAGGTTGTGGGGCTTTAGAATGATATTGTTGATCTAATACAGAATAAAAAAGCTGCATTTGCATTTCTGAAGCAGCAAATAAACATTTTGAAACACATAATTTGTTTAACATTTCTTCAGGCATGGGTTCTCTAGTTTTATAATGTTTAGCATACCATTTCATTGCCTAATAAATTTAAATTTAATGTAAATTTTTTTATATCGTTGAGTGTTCTTCATACTTGAGATTGTGAAGCATAATATTCCATCAACACTGAAGGAAATTCTGCTAAATCAGTAGCACATCTGGTTCCATTTACATGTTGATATTTAGTTCTTCCCAACATTGAATGGATTGCATGACCAAACTCGTGAAATAAGTTTTCTACAGTTCCAGGATGTAATAACACAGGCCCTTGATTAGCATTCCAAACTATGTTCAACATGACTACTACAATTGGTACCTAATAATTTCATTTTGATACAAAATATATTATAAACAAAAATTTTCTTAAAATTATTAATATTTTATCAATTATAATATATTTAAATTATTAATTTTATATGACAAATAACAAATTTGTTTCAAAGTATATGATTCTAGTAATACTAATTAAAAAAAAACCAGCACAGGGAGATCGCGGTAGAGTGGTGACGTGGCATATCTGGATCAAGTATAATAATATCTGACAGTGAATAAAATCACTATAAAAAAAAACGCTTCGATGCAAATATTTAGATAGTGTTTAATTTTAAAAAATTGGTGGATTATTCCAAAAGCTACATGATCTGCTAGTTCCTTATTAATATCATGATTAAGATAAAGCGCGTCGAATGAAAAAGGGATTATTAAAAATATTATTTCTCACAAAAAAATTGTGTTGATCCATACACTTTTCAATAAGTTATAGCATTATAAAGTTAAAAATGTAAAATACAAAATCGAGAATTTTCACACAAAAATAGCATTTGGTAGCCATTTTCAACGTGAAGACAAGATATAGTCCGAAATTTTTTTTTTTATAATAAATTACATTAATTAGTTTTATTTTAAGATATATATAAAAGTGTCAGACTTTCCGGAACACTTTCAAATTTTTGTGAAAAAGTTGTCATTTTAAATACCCCTCTGTGGGCAGATAAAGGGTCAGATTTGTAAAAAAAATATACCAAATGATAGGTAAAGACATCAAACATCTATTAAAAAAATTTTTTTTATTGATTTGTTTATTTTTGAAAAAGTTATGGCAGTTTTAAGTAAAAAAAATGTCAAAAATTAGCGATTTTTAAATTTCTAATTTTTTTGAAGATTTCCCTATTTACGGGGAGCGGGGAAATTTTTTTCAATTTTTTAGGGTAATGTCTTCGACTAGTAACGATTTGTGATCCTTTGACGTATTGTTGAAAGAAATCCGTTCGGTGAGAGCTGAGAAAAAGTGGTAACAGACACAAAAAAAAAAACACATCATATTAAAACCAATACCTTCTCAGCTTCGCATCAAAGCTAATATGTATATAAATTAAAAAATTGTAAGTGAACTTATTTATTTATACATTAGAAATTATATTAGAAGATTCCTCTGACTATTTAAGGGCAAGATCGTCGCTCCAGTCAATCAATCGATCAGTCAATCACTTACGCATTCTGTTTTAAACGCGCTTCGTCTCTCGCTGTTATTTGTTAGTTCGTTGTAATATAGTACAGTTGTTATTAAATCGTAAAAGTGTTTATTACTTCTATATATTACACCTCGCTACATTGGTGACCTCGACGATAACAAGTATGAACGCCGAAGAACTACGCAATCAATTGGAGGAGTTACGTCAAGAAAACGCTCGCCTTGCAGCACTACAGGCACAGCAATATCCAACAGCTTCAGTGAATCGCGTTGCCGTCAAGTTGCCACCTTTCTGGTCCGAAAGACCGAGCTTATGGTTCTTACAGGTTGACTCGCAGTTTGCAATCTCGGGAATAACAAGTGAGGAAACAAAATTTAATTATGTTGTGGCTCAGCTTGATACGCGTTACGCCGCCGAAGTAGAGGATATTATTACTAACCCACCGCCTACTGAACGCTACAAACATCTACGCGCAAAACTCGTTGAACGGTTGTCTATCTCAGAAGAACAACGTGTGCGGCAACTCATCAATGAAGAAGAACTAGGTGACCGTAAGCCATCACAGTTCTTACGACATCTCCGTTCCCTTGCCGGCACTACTACATTACAAGACAATATTTTACGTCAACTTTGGCTCCGCCGTCTACCATCACATGCACAAGCTATTTTAACCGCACAATCAGAGCTTCCTCTGGATAAGGTAGCCGAGCTGGCTGACAAAATTGTTGAAGTGCAGCCAGCCCCCTCGCAATTCGTCCATGCTGTTGCCACGACGAACAATAAAAAGGAACTCGATGTTTTAGCTGCCATTGAAGCACTCACAAAACAGGTAAGCGAATTATGTGCTAAACGCCCGCAACGTTCCCGCTCTAGGTCACGTAACCGTTCAAACGTGGAACTGACTAACGGCAAAGGATGGTGTTGGTATCATAGCACTTATGGAGAAAAGGCTGCCAAATGTAAGGCTCCCTGCAAGTATCAGGAAAACTCCAACGACAGTCAGTAGCGGCGGCAACAGACTGTCCGAACCCGAGCAGCCGCCTGTTTGTTACAGATCAAATAACAAAACGCCAATTTTTAGTCGACTCCGGTTCCGACTTATCTTGTTACCCTCAACGGCTACTACGGGAACGACGCCATGCCACCGATTACGACCTCAGCGCGGCCAACAACAGTACCATAAAAACTTACGGGACGGTCCATCTCAATTTGAATTTAGGACTTCGACGCAGTTTCCCGTGGAGTTTTATTGTCGCCGACGTGAGTACTCCTATCATTGGTTCCGACTTCATGGCATACTACCACTTGCTGCCGGATTGCCGTACCAAACGTCTTAGAGATGGTGTCACAGGCTTGGCTGTGAATGGTAAGGTTTCCTCTGTAAATCAATGCAGCATAAAATCAGTTGCCAACACTTCCCCTTGGGCTGCACTTCTCGCAGAATTTCCGGACATCACACGTCCCACCGGATTGCCCAGGACAATAAAACATCAAACAGTGCACCACATTCTTACGACACCTGGTCAGCCAATAGCCTGCCGCCCACGCCGCTTAGCTCCAGGTAGACTAAAAATCGCCAAACAGGAATTCGCGGAAATGGTCAAGGCAGGTACCGCTAGACCTTCAAGCAGTCCGTGGTCTTCACCATTACATTTAGCACCGAAAGGGGAGAACAGCTGGCGTCCTTGCGGTGATTACCGCGCGCTGAACGCCCGAACTATACCAGACTCCTATCCAGTCAGACACATACATGATTTCTCGCACAACCTGGCTAATTGCACGCTATTTTCCACAATCGATCTGGTAAAGGCTTACCATCAAATACCTGTTAATCCGGACGATATATGCAAAACAGCCATTACCACTCCATTCGGACTTTACGAATTTCCTTTTATGACATTCGGATTGCGAAATGCTGGACAAACTTTTCAACGCTTCATAGACGAAGTTACCAATGGGTTGGACTTTTTATGCATATATATTGATGACATTTTGGTATTCTCTAAATCGGAAGAGGACCACAAACAGCATTTACGCACTCTTTTCGGGAGACTTTCTGACTACGGTGTTGTCGTTAACCCGCAAAAATGTGTATTAGGTTCGGCTGAGGTGAAATTTCTAGGTTACCTAGTATCTTCTGAAGGCACCCGCCCGCCACCGGAACGCGTCGAAGCCCTACGACAGTATCCATTGCCAAAATCTATGCAAGGATTACGCCGGTTTTTGGGAATGGTAAATTTTTATCGCCGGTTTATTCCCAAAGCTGCCGANTTTAATAACAACTATACTATATTACAACGAACTAACAAATAACAGCGAGAGACGAAGTGCGTTTAAGATAGAATGCGTAAGTGATTGACTGATCGATTGAATGACTAGAGCGACGATCTTGCCCTTAAATAGTCAGAGGAATCTTCTAGAGGCGGCGGCGGAACTCTCTAGAACATTCGACCGCCACACATCTGTCTCCGAATGCTCTTTATTTTTGGCTTTTTNTGTTGATATAATTTTAGAGTAAAAAAAACTACGATATAACTCTTTTAGTTAACAAAGATTTAACAAAATTTTCATAAAAGAATAATTGAGTCTGGCCATTAAGGACAACACTTATTTATCAAAATATGAATAATATTAATTTTTTTAGAGAAAAGAAAAGGGTAATTTGCTATTTTTATATGTACCATAATAAACATAAATTTATAATTTTTTTTGCGTATCAAAGGTAAAAACTAGTAAAATCTTCATCAATTAAAAAATAATATAGGTTAATAATAAGTATAAGAAAATATTTTTTTTTGAATTATGATCATTGAAATATGATTGCTCTTATGGACATAACAGTAAGAAAAACTACTGTTATATAATGTACTGCTGAATTTTAAGTAAAAGCATATTTATCTAACTTAAACTATTGAAAATAAAATTTTTAATAGTTTTAATTTAAAATCTTTATAATACTTTAAAACAAAAATTTTTATTTTATATAATAGTTTTGTATGAAATCTAGTATTTAAAAAATACTTTTATCTGAATAAAATTACCCTACTAAAATAAATATCTAAACATTTTATTTTTTAAAAATAATTTACTTGATAAGAATTATTTGGTAGTTGACGTCCACCTCTTACAACATAGTGAGAATCATTATGTAATTTTCCAGATCGTTCAAAAAAATCACAATAAATATAACCTAGTAAACCTTCACTTTCATGAATAACTATAAAAAAAAAAGGGTAATTATAATACAAGTTTAAAGAAATAACTAATGAATTTACCAGCTAACTTGTAAATTCTATCAGCCCATCCTTCCCCTCGTTTTAAATCTTCAATAATTAATTTTATATTGTATAAGCTGTTAAATATTAAATTTAAACCTTCCATACAATCTCCCAGAGAAAAATATGCTGCATAATCTAGCATTGAGTATTTAAGATGATTTTGCTTAATATTATTAGTCAAAAATTGTACATCCCAAGGTGCAACTGTCTAAAATTAAAAAAATACCTATAGCTTATTTCACCGAAAAATTAAAAAAATTATTCCATAACAACAAAAATATTTCACTTTATTATTATTTGCTTTCTTCATGATTTTATACTCAATTATTGACCTTGTTCTCAGTTCTGAATTCAATACATCTAAAAACTCCATGACAAAATCAGGATTTTCTGCTATACTGTTTTTTAAAGCTCTACATAAAAACAAATTGAATAATAATACTTTATTGCAATATAATTATAATAAGCTCACCTATGAGCATATGAGGGAAACCCACATGTCAAAGCTAGTTTATGTCGACATTCTAAAAGATTATCTAACAGTTCTTCTGATTCTTTGTTTGGGGAGTTAAAAATTTTAAATGAAAACTCTCGGACTATTGGATTGCTTGAAGTTGAATTTGATTGTTGAACACTTATTTTCCCATCTTTTACAGGATAACTAAACAAACAAAATCATATATTAATTTAAACATGTAGTTTTGTAATTATGTAGAAACATACTCAATTAAAAATGCATCAGGAATTTTAGACATATCAATAAATCTGGATTTTTCTGCAGCTATCATAAATCTTTGTCCAGTAATTAAAATATAATTATTTAAATCAACTACATATTGTCTTTTCTTTTCTTCTAAATGTATCCCATTTAATTCAAAATCAAATAGAAATAGCTCACCAACATGAATATCTTCTTCTGTCATTGGATTTATGTCACCATCTTTAAGCACTTGTTTCAATTTTAAATACAGTTTTTTATTAGTGTTTAAACTAGAAAATAAAGAATAATTTTTTTAACCTTGATTAACAAATAAAGTATTAACATCAAATTAAAAGTAATTACAAAGATTATACTTTTCAACAATAGTATTCATAGATAGACAAGAATCTTCTGCAGCTGTACTATATGATGCATCTGGATGAGCAGTTCGTATAAATTCTGCTAAATCAGCAAGACAACAAAGGCTATTGGATAGTTGATCAAATAATTCCACCAAATTGTTTTTTCTGTAAAAAAATTTTATAATAGTAACACATAATATGTAAATAATATTTAATTTGTAAATTTATTATAACAATAAAATTATTACTAAATGAAAAAGCTAATAAATATTATTAAGATTTATAAATTAATACCTTTTCTTATAAACTAATACTTGTGTTATAGAGAACATAAACACTTATATAATTCTGGGGAATGGAATTAAACCCTAATACCAAAGGCAGACTAAGGCCAATACAAGCCCCGAGGATTACTTACAAGTTGCATCTTTCTTGTGTGGGTAGGTACATAATTTTCATCATAATATGCCCACATTGCAATTTTTAAAAAAATTGAAAAATTATATAATATAATTCTTTTACCATAAAAAGTAGTCCTGAGAATCATCCTACTTTGACATTCTTTTAATCCAGCTCTACTGTTACTTGCATACCAAGACACTTCACATTTTCACCATTATAAAGAAAAATGAGTCATTTAAATAAACAGATTGGAAAACAGCTAGCCTTTATAATTTAAGTTTATAACTTAGAAATCATAAAAAATACTAATAAACAAATTATTTGATAATATAGAAAGAAAAAAAAGGAAGTAGCTTACATATTTATTCAAAAATTTAAAAAAAAAATATTAATTTTGTATACATTTTCTAGAGTTAAGTAGATTTAATTGTTTTTTTAAATAAATAAAAATGAATTAGTCAATGTGAATACCTGTTTGGACTACAAATTTCATCCACTAAATTGTCACATTGTAACTTTGTACGTTCTCTGAGTGCATAAAATCCTTCATATGAACAAAGTTCTGGTATGTCGAATAATCCCTGTACAATGTTTTTTAAAAATATGCTAAATTATTCAACTCCACAATTTTCCTTTGAAATAATTGAATAGTGTTTGCAAAAACTTACGGTTTGATTACTAACAAAAAAATTTATTTTTGAATTGGGATAATTAAACACTTTAGTTAATGGTTGAGCTGATGAAACATTATACATTCTACAATAATGTCCAAAACGTAAGACTCTATGTATCATACCAAAACTGCATGAATTTATCATAATTGTAGATTTATCAATATATGTTAGATGTATAGTCAAAGTAGAGTATTTTAAGACATTGATATTGGATTTTATGTAGAATTTTTAATTCTATAACTTTATCTAAAAGAAAAAATCTTCAACAAAACCCAATATGTTTTACATTAGTAAGTACGTATTAAAAATATTTTAATGTTTGTCTACAAATTTGTATTAAACTTTTCATACGACCGAAAAAGTTTTACATTATATAATTTGAAATAATTCAAACAAAAAACAAAATTAACATTCTTAACATATTCGAATTTTATCTATTAAAATGAACACAGATTAAATGGAAGTTTAATTTAAACGACTATGTGGTTAGCAATTTCTAATCAGATATAATGAGAATATAATCCGATAGAGAGCGTTACTTAGTTAAAAAAATGTTATATTGTACTTTTGACAAAGTTTCGAGGGGTGTTCACTTAAAATTATATTCCAAATAAAAGCTTATAAAATTTCCTATCCATTGGTATAGGTCCCAAAAGGTACTCAAGTGTACAAGTATATGAGAATATAACAGACACAAAAAAAAAAAAAAACACATCATAGTAAAACCAATACCTTCTCAGGTTCTCATCGAAGCTGAAATTGGTGGATTATTCCAAAAGCTACATGATCTGCTAGTTCCTTATTAATATCCTGATTAAGTTAAGTATGTCGAATGAAATAGGGATTATTAAAAAATATTATTTCTCATAAAAAAATTGTGTTGATCCATACACTTTTCAAAAAGTTATAGTATAATAAGTTAAAAATGTAAAATACAAAATCGAGAATTTTCACACAAAAATAGCATTTGGTAGCCATTCTCACCATGAAGATAAAATAAAGGCGAAATTTTTTTTTTTCATGATAAAGTATATTCTATAGAATATAAGTCTCTCTGAATATAACTCTTGTCTTAAGAAAAGACAAGAAGTTTACGATAAATTAAATGAAAATTTCACATTTTTTACGACGCTCTAAAAGATCAATAACAAACAAATCGAGGACGCTTGTGAAAACTTGGCAAATATCTATGATAAAGATATCACAGCAGAAAATTTAATTTCTGAATGTTTACATTTTAAACATTATTTAAACGAAACTTGTAACGATGATGAGGTATTACTAATTCCTGATTTGTCTGATAAAATTAAAAAAGATTGTATTAGTTCTACTTTTCCTAATATTGAAATTTGTTTACGCATATATTTAAGTTTGATGATAACTAATTGTACTGGCGAGCGTTCATTCTCTTATTTGAAATTTTTAAAAAGCGATGTAAGAAATTCGATGATCCAGTCCAGGCTAAACTATTTATCTATCATGTGCATGGAATCTAATTTATTAAATGAAATAGATTTTAATGATTTGATTAACGACTTTTCGACTAAAAAATGTTGTACAAAACTGTTTAATCGGAGTATATAATCAATTTTAGAAGGAATATCTATATATATGTGTGTNTAATGACGTAAAAAACTGTTTAATCGGAGTATATAATCAATTTTAGAAGGAATATCTATATATATGTGTGTATTATGTTTAATGTAAAGTTTTATGTTTAAAATAAATTGATTTCATTTTGTTCAAGTATTCTTTTTAAAAAAAATATATTAAAAAAACTTAACGATTGTCTACGAAGAGGCCCTCCTTTTGCAGGTGGCCCTGGGCCCGGGCCCGGTGTGGCCTGCCTTAAAGACGGCCCTAGTACTACCCTTGTAAGGTATTTTAAAGTAAAATAAAATACAAATCGAGAATTTTAACACAAAAATAGCATATTTTTGAATACGGTATTCATTTCATTATAAAGACAAACTAAAGTTGGAAATTTTTTTTTTCATAGTAAAGTATGTTACATAAGTTTTAATTTAAAATATATTTAAAGGACGCAGTATATCTGGAACATTTTCAAAGGTTAAGTTGAAAAATATTAACTTGTGTACAAAAGTTGCTATTTTGAATCTCTCTCTGTGTGCAGATAAATGGTCAGATTTTCTTAAAATGTAAACCAAATAAAAGGGCAAACCCCCCCCCCAAAAAAAACACATAGTAAAATTAATACCTTCTCAGTTTAACATCGAAGCTCAAAAAATTTTACAATGCAAAATATGTATATTTAAAATTATAGGGCATCAATTTTGATTCTTTTGTTCTAAGTAATGTAATACCTTTATAAAGTATAAAAGTTAAACATAAAAACTACTTCTTGACTGTTATTTAAAAATATATATAATTAAATAAACCATTAAAAAATTGTTAATAATATTACTAATTTTCAATTAATTAAATGATTCATGATAAATGAATCATTATGTACACATATAATCAAAAATAGGAATTTGTGAGCAATACGAGATATAAATTTATTTTTATAAGGCTCATAGTAAACTAAAAAATACAGATGTATTAATCATGTGATTTAAACAGTGCTTTCTTAAACCTATGAATTTACAAAGAGAGAAAGAAATTATTTTTACCGACTGAATTATTTATAGTAGTAGTCTAGAGTAGACTTACTTGATTCCTATTTCTTTTTGACATTTCTGTTGTTATTTTTATTCCTGTCATTGTTGTTTTGTTTTTATCGTTGTCGCTGTTTGTGTTATTATTTCATTGAGTATGAAAAAAACTAATTAAAAGTTATTTTATTTCATTAGTTGAATACAGAATAGAGCGAATTGCATTTTTGATAAAATTGAGTTAGTTGGGTAATTGTACTAACTTTTTATTAGTATTTATTTATTTTTCAAAAAGTTATGGCAGTTTTAAGTAAAAAAATTTTAAAATTTTGAAATTTACGAATTATAAAAATAGTATTTTTTGGGAGATAACCCCATTTACGGGGAACAAGGGAATTTTTTCAATTAATGAGAGTAATTTCCTCAACTAGATACGATTTGTGATCTTATATAGGGATATATATTTATTTTTAACCGCACATCGTTTAGTAACAACACTAGTCTCTTATTATTGATATTTTTAACAGAATTGTGTCTTATATTATTTTACATTATATTTTTTCAAAAAAATAAAATGACAAAGAACACGAGGTAGGTGAAATGAGGAGATTAGAGGCAATAAACGAGGACGTGATAGGAAAGGTGGAAAGCTTTAAGTATTTAGGATCAGTTGTGCAAAAGAACGATGGTATTGACGAGTATGTATGACACAGGATTTAGAGCGAGTGGGTGAAGTGCCGAGAGGCGTCTGGTGTGTTATGCGATAAAAGAATTTCAATAAGGCTGAAAGGTAAATTCTACAAGATTGTAGTGAGACCAGTTTGATCAGTGTTGGGCGGCTGATAAGAAAGTAGAGCTGAGAATGAGTGTAGCAGAGATGAGAATACTTAGATGGATGAGTGGAGTGACTAGAGAAGATAGGATAAGGAACGAACATATAAGAGGGAGTATAGGTGTAGCGTCAATCGTAGATAAGATGAAAGATAATAGACTTGGATGGTTTGGTTATGTTATGAGTAGAGAAGAATCGGAAGCCGTAAGAACAGTTGTAGAAATTAATGTTGAAGGAAGAAGAGGTAGAGGAAGACCAAAAAAGTGATATTATTATCAGTTCGTGGTAAAGGTGTTATTCCATATATAAACCATAGAATAGATAAGATCTTATATTTAAACAGAATGGTTTATACATAGAATTTTTGTATATAAACTACGATATAAGGTATTTAAATGTAGTATAAATGTTATCTACACTTATGACTATTATCAGGGAAAAATTTATCTTATATTACTTTCCGTTTCTACCATCATACATAATATTTTTTTACAAAAAAAATGTTTTTATTACAAGTTCATGGATGTTACATTTTGTTATGAACAGTTAAAAAAAAAATTACATTTTCAATATTATATCTGAGCATGTAAAACAGCAATTTACTTTTTTTTGACTGTAGTATTGTTTAAATCCATTTAATTATTATTTTAAGACGGTTTGATTGTAATGTAAATTATAAGAAACAAAACAATGATGTCTTCTAAGAGGTAAATATTTAATTTTAAATCCGATTAAAATTTGTTGTATTTTAATTGCTAATTAATTTTTAGTGAGTTGAAAAAATTATCAGAGGAGAGTTTGACTAGACAACCTGAAGAAGTATTTGATATCATTTGTAAATTAGGCGAAGGGTATATAAAATTACATATATCATTATTATGTTTAATTATTATAATTTTATTAATAGTTTTTAACATCCTCTTTTATACTTATTTTAAAGTAATTATTATAATGAAATAATATATAGATCATATGGAAGTGTATATAAAGCTTTACATAAAGAATCTGGTCAAGTACTAGCTATTAAACAAGTTCCAGTTGACACAGATCTTCAAGAAATAATAAAAGAAATATCAATAATGCAACAATGTGATAGTCCGTATGTTGTTAAGTATTATGGTTCATACTTCAAAAATACTGATCTATGGGTTTGTATAAGCTTTAGTTTTATTAATTGTTAAAAAAACAACAATTAATAAAATAATTAGAAAAAAAATAAGAATAATAATTAGCAAAAAAGCTAATATATCATATATTTTAGATTGTAATGGAATATTGTGGTGCGGGATCAGTATCTGATATCATGAGATTAAGAAAAAAAACTTTGTCTGAGGATGAAATTGCTACTATATTATCAGATACTCTAAAAGGATTAGAATATTTACATTTAAGAAGAAAAATTCATAGAGATATTAAAGCGGGAAACATTTTATTAAATTCTGAAGGACATGCTAAATTAGCTGATTTTGGAGTTGCTGGACAATTAACTGTAAGATATTCATTAATTCTCGTTATCAATTTAAATAAAAGATATTTAAACGGAATTAGATACAAACGAACTTCTTGAACAATAATTTTTGTAAAGATATGTTTTTTAACCTTCTATACTTGGGGACAGATAATTTGTCTGTCGCCAGAAAGAGGAATGCCTACCGTCAATTATTGAACTGATTTTATGTTAGCAAACAGAGCTACCCTTGACTAATTCAAATCCAATTTAGTGCGCATCTACACTTTCCCATTACCAACTGGCCCACATTACCTTATTTAATTATGAAAAAAAACCTGTGTGTTATTTATCTATTAAATAAAAACTATTTTTTAAAAATTTTGTTTGGAATTTTTAATTATTCAAAGACCCCTGCATAAGTGCCAGAAAAAAATACCTTAACTGACCTACTCTCACCTAAATTCTGATTGTTATATACAATTTTTGTTGTATTTCATTTAGGATACAATGGCCAAAAGAAATACAGTAATTGGAACTCCATTTTGGATGGCTCCTGAAGTAATTCAAGAAATTGGGTATGATTGTGTAGCAGATATGTGGAGTTTAGGTATGATATAAATCAAGGGTATATTTAGAACTGATTTTAGGGTAGGCATATTTTTTTTAATTTGGTAAGTATGCTAGAGAAAATTTTTTGGCCAAAAAGTAAAATAATAACCAAAGAAGAAGGTCTTTAAAGCCATATTTTGTAAATACAAGCTCTAATAATATTGATATTGCTGGTTTAGGGGTGTGATACCTCTAATATTCTCCATTAAATTCTTATATAATTCCTTTTATAAACGATGTAAATTAAAGAATTTTTTTTGAACGTTGTTAAATTTGTCACTTAATTTTCAGATACTTTTTATTTAAATTTTAGAATGTACACTACTATTTTTATAAAAATTGTTTAAATCAATATTATACAAGGTTTTATAAACATGGTTCTTTATCTTAATCTTTTCTCTTAACATCACTGCACTTTTGTACAATAATTTTTTTAAGTTATTTGGTTTAAGTCTCTCAACAGTTTACATCTTAATTTATTTATGTAGATTTCATTCTCCAAGATTAACATTTATTCCTAGTTTTTATTTAATCACCAAGATTTTAATTAATTTATTATAATCATAATACTTATAAATATAATATTTTAGGAATAACTGCACTAGAAATGGCAGAGGGAAAACCACCTTATGGAGATATACACCCAATGCGAGCTATATTTATGATACCAACTAAACCTCCGCCATCATTTCGAGAACCAGATAAATGGTCACCAGAATTTATTGATTTTGTAAGTCAATGTTTGGTTAAAAATCCTGAGGAGAGAGCAACAGCATCTAAGATGTTAGAACATGAATTTATCGGTAATCAAATTAATATTACAATTTAAATAGATATAAAAGTATAGAGTGTTCAGTAAGTAAGGAATCTGGCAATTATTATAAACAATGAAAACAATAGATACCTGTTTCTTTACTTATTGAACACTCTGTATATTAATATAAGCTGTTAACTTTTCCTTTATTTAAATCTAACTTCAGATATTGAAAATTTAGCATTAATTAATTTTTTTTTTTATATATATATACAAAACCAGAAATATGTAGTTTAATGGAAATTAATAAAATGTTCTGCAAATTACATAAAACTATTTTTATATAATTTAACTTATTTTTTTCTGTACTCATAAGTACTAATATTATTTTTCATTTTTAAAAAGACTAAAATAACTATTAAAAAAAAACCCAGCACAGGGGGGTCGCGGCACAGTGGTGACGTGGTATAGATGGATCAAGTATAATGATATCTGACAGTGATTAAAATCACTATCAAAAAAAAACGCTTCGATGCAAATCTTTAGATACTGTTTAATTTTAAAAAATTGGTGGACTATTCCAAAAGCTACATGATCTGCTAGTTCATTATTAATATCCTAATTAAGATAAAGTATGTAGAATGAAAAAGGGATTATTAAAAAATATTATTTCTCATAAAAAAATAATGTTGATCCATACACTTTTCAATATGTCATAGCATTATAAAGTTAAAAATGTAAAAAATAAAATCGAGAATTTTCACACAATAATAGCATTCGGTAGCCATTTTCACCGTGAAGATAAAATAAAGTCCGAAATTTTTTTTTCGCATAATAAAGTAAATTACATTAGCTTTAATTTAAGATATATATAAAAGTGTCAGACTTTCCGGAACACTTTCAAAATTTAAGTTGAAAAAGTTCTACTTTCTACATGCATTTTTTAGATTTGAACCCCCCTCGTATATAGGGAAATGGTCGGATTTAAAAAAACAGTATGTCAAATGAAAGATGTATATAAATACTACTCCTCATGAAAAAATTGTACTGATCCATACATTTTTCAAAAAGTTATAGCATAATAAAGTTAAAAATGTAAAATACAAAATCGAAAATTTTCACACAAAAATAGCATTTGGTAGCCATTTTCACCGTGAAGATAAAATGAAGTTCGAAATTTTTTTTTTGCATAATAAAGAATATTACATTAGCTTTAATTTAAGATATATATAAAAGTGTCAGACCTTCTGGAACATTTTCAAAAGTTAAGTTGAAAAAGTTAATTTTTTTT